GGAATCGTGTATTTTACAATACACCATTCAAAAACTCACTTTCACTTCATAGACAGAGATATTATTTCCATTTTATAGGCAAGAAAAACGGGAACTTCAAAGGAGTAACAGAGCCAAGGTCACAACTAGCAAGTGGCAGAGCATAGCTTTAAATATTGCTTGACCCACAAAACCTATTTTCAATCTCTCTCTATCTCTATCTCTATCTCTTTCTCTCTCTCCTTTTTTTTTTTTTGTACTGGGGATTGAACCCACAGGCACTTTACCACTGAGCTATGTCCCCAGCCCTTTTTAATTGTATTTTGAGACAGGGTCTCATTAAGTGGTTGAGGGTAGCCTCAAACTTGTGATCTTCCTGCCTCAGCCTCCTGAGTCACTGGGATAAACCTATTCTCTTAACTCTCTTCTAGATGCCTCTTTCATCTGTGAGGAGGGCAAATAAGAACTATAAACAAAATTTACAGAAGATATATTTAGGTACCCAAGAGAGCCCCTGGCTCCCGTGCACTTTAACTAGTCATTTGCATAAAAAATAATTATGTCTTAATTAGAGAGTGTTCTTGTCTAGTTATAAAAAATTGGCTCCCCTAAGTTCATTACGCATTTAGTTGAAGATATTCAGTTGAAATTAAATGTAATTAAGCGATTCCATTCATTTAAATAGCCTTCCCCAATTTCAGCTCCTCATAAAACCAGATGAATAAGGTATTCTGAATATATATATTTTAAAGCCCAACAACCAGAAGTCTTTATAACTTCATTAGTCTGTTTTCTGTTGCAAGAACACAGCACCAYAAACTGGGTGAGTTATAAAGCAAGGAGGTTTGTTTGGGCTCATAGTTCAGGTCCAAGCTAAAGGGTTGTGTCTGGTGGTGGCTTGAAGCTTCCCAAGGTGATTCCCAAGGTGGAGATGGGGGACACGGGTGTGTGTCCTCTGGCCTCTCTCCCTATCAAGCCCCCAGGATTCAATCCTGGGTGCCCACCCTGTTGACTCGATCTGATCCCAGGCGCCTCCCAGAGGCCCCCCCTGTGGACGCCACTGTTGAAATTAGTTTCTGTCCTCGTCATACCTCATGTTTTTCATAAGAATGACAATAACATTAATAGTCCTGATGCCGACAGTCATGATGACAGGTGCTGGTCACGTGCTGGCCACCACCTGGGCATTCTCCTACATCCCCATGTATGAGAAAGCAGGCTCAGAGCTCAGATGTGGAAGCAAGTTCAAGGCCAGCCCAGGCTCAAGGTGGGAAAACTAGACCCCGTTCCCCTCCACTGCTGGGGATGGAACCCAGGGCCTGGCACCTGGCAGGCAAGTGTCCCACCACGGAGCCACGTCCCGGCCTCGACAGAGACTTGGTGCCAAGAGTCACAGAGTCACACTGCGTAGTGGCACAGATGCCGTGGGGGAGACACCAGGACAACTTAGCAAGCGGGGGGCAACTGGATTCAAATCCAGATCTGTCCAGTGCCAAAGCGCTGACGGCCGTGAGCAAGTCCTGCCCGGGGCCAGAGGGTCACGTTTAGGACACAAATACTTGGACTTTCTGTGCATGGAGGAGCAGCAGGAGGGGATCAACGTTCATTCGAGCAAGGGAGAGAAATATTATGGATTATTCTCCTTACAAACAATACATTTTAGAGAATTTAGAAATGCAAATAAGCATCAGAAAAYGATAATCTCCTTAATTGCAAGTATCTTCTCATGAAAGTAAGGAAGATGCAGGTGGGTGGGTGGGCTGTGGTGCTTTGTGTCCAGCAGAGGGCGCCGTGTGGCCCAGCAGAGCGCCGTTTCTGGACGTGACTGCGCTGGGAAACGGGCAGCTACCGCGTCCGGCTGGGGTGGGAGCTGCTCTCGCAGATAAGTGATCCCGGGGCTGAGGGCGCGGTTCAGGGATGGGATGCGTGATGAGCATGCGCCAGGCCCCAGGCTCCGGAGTTTGGAAAGCTCCAAACCCCAGGTAGCCGGGCGCAGCGGTGCACGCAGGTCTATAATCCCAGCTGCCTGGGAGACTGGGGCAGGAGGATCGCGAGTTCAAAGCCAGCCTCAGCAATTTAGGAAAGTCCTGAACAACTCGGACTCTGTATCAAAATAAAAATATAGAAAGGGTGAGGGTGTGGCTCAGTGGTTAAGCGCCCCTGGGTTCAATCCCTGGTCCAGAAAAAATAAAAAATTCAGGTAGCTGCCCACCTTGACCTCTGCCTCCCAATTTCATCATGAACCCGTCCTGGCTCTGTTCTTTCCACCAAAGAAGGAAATGGCAAGTCTCTGATGGCCCCGGGCCGTGCACGAGATTTCCGCAGGCCGGAGTCCTTTCATCTGTCACGAGAGCGTCCTCATGGCCACAGTTTGGAGGGAGATCAAACAGCCCGTTTTCATGATGAACTGCTATAAATATCACATCCGAAATGTGAGGYGCAACAATGATAGGAAAAGATGTTCCTTGTGACCTAAGTTACAAAAACAAAACAACAGCCAAATCGGAAATGACTTCTGTATGAAGCCGATGGGGGGTGGGTCAGTAAACGGTGACATCACCCCCAAGGTGGAGAAGTGTGCAGCCCGCAGTAAGGGACCCAGGTGTGGCTCGGTGGCAGAGCGCTTGCCTGGCATGCTCCAGCCTCCTGCCTTCTCTGCCCAGCACTGAAATAACAGGAATGCCGAGCCCTCTCCACATGAATAGGGAACGAGTCCCAAATTCTTATGAAAGCCCACCCTGACACAGGGGCAAGTAGTTCACACGGATTCTGCCACACAGACTCCAGATGGGCCCTCTGAAGGGGTGACGGAGGGAACTGCCCTTTGTTGAGGGTGGCTGCTGGGATGTCTGAATTCTCATGGCACTTCTAGCCTGCCCCAGAGGCTGGCAAAATAAGCTTTAAGGACCAGAGAGAAAGGTCTCAGGAAAGAGCGGCAGGGATGGGCAGTTGCAATTTGGGCTGGCAAATGTGGAAGTGGTTAAGAATGGGATGTTGGAGCCGGGTGTGGTGGCGCAGGCCTATGATCCCAGCACCTCAGGAGGCTGAGGCAGGAGGATTGCAAGATCAAGGCCAGCCTCAGCAATTTAACAAAGCCCCTACTAAGCAACTTAGTGAGTCACTGTCTCAAAATTAAAAAAAAAAAAAAAAAAAGGGCTGAGGTTGTAGCTCAGTGGTAAAGTGTCCCTGGGTTCATCCCCAGTATCCCGAAGACTTTATGCTAGAGGTCATCAAAACAGATCCTCGATATCATTTTTGCCTCGTTGGTAGTTCGGCATTAATTTGATGAGGAAAGGTGAAGTGTTTCTCTTTTTTTAATTATTGATTTTTTAAAAAAATAACATAAGCACACCACTTGGAAAATAGAATAAAATTTCTAAGGAGTCATACAGGATGAACATTGCAATCTGTTAAACTTGTTCTCAATTCTTAGAGCTCAAGTAAATGAGATTCACCCTGGTTTCTGTTAAGAGGGATACTAGAACAAATAGAAATTGGAACAATTTGGGATAGTAATATATTACAAAAATCTTAAAAATAAGTACATCCGCTGATTCAAATTCTGTTTAGGGGCCAGGCACAGTAGCGTACACCTGTCATCTCTGCAGCTCAAGAGGCTGAGGCAGGAGGATCCCAACTTCAAAGCCAGCCTCAGAAACTTAGTGAAGCCCTAAGCAACTTAGCGAGACCCTGACTTAAAATTAAAAAAATAATAATAATTAGGGCTGGGGATGTAGCTCAGTGGTAGAGCGCCCCTGGGTTCCATCCCCAATACCAGAAAATTTAAAAAATTAATAATTGGGTTCATTTTTTTAAAAAATTGGAGTCTTGATATAATGCCAAAGCTGGTCTGGAACTCACGAGCCTCCTGCCTCAGCCTCCCCAGCCGCTGGGATGACAGGCGCGAGGGGCTGAACCTGGCCACCCCACCCCCACTCTTTAAGAGGGGCCAGGAGACACCTGACTTGGGTGGGAGACGTGGAGAAGGCCTCGTCTTCCTAGGCCAATGGAAGGGGGAGGCAGGCTGGGCAGCTCTCCTCTGTGCCAGCACGCCAGAAGGGGAGGAAGAGCAGGAAGCAGGAGAGGTGATAGGTAGATAAAGAACAGATACACCCATGATGGACAGTGTCTAGACGGCTCAGGATAGAGAGAGGTGGGCGGAGACCGAGGAGGAGGGCGGCAGGGGTAGATGAGGAGGAGAAGGAGAGAGCACYCCCTTGCAGGAGGATGTTAAGTAGTAAATGTAAAAGGAACAACAGAAAACACCCAGCGTGGTCATAGTTGATTCAGGCACAACCAGCCATGAGCTGAAACCGGTGGGGAGGGACTGTGGGGAACACTGGATATCGGCTTGACCTCCAAATATTTCCCCCAACGTACTTATTCGTGCCAAACGGGGGGAAAATGATTACGTAGGGCGGAGAAATCTGTCAGACCCCAACTTGGTGTCTGGATGAAAATCAAGGTCCCCGGTGGTGGGGAGGGCTGACGTCACATGCCCCTCACGTGATGTGCCAGGAAGACCCAGCCTTGTATCTGGCGTTGCTGCCAAGAAAACACAGCCAGGCCTCGATGGAGCGAGGACGAGGGCGTCCTACTGAACAAAAGGCCGAAGTCCTCAAGATCACGAGGGCTAGAGGCCTGATCTGGATTGAGGTTACCCATAACCCCATACCCCGTTTCCCCCAGGCCCACTGGGCTGCAGGAAGGACCGAGCAGATGTGCTTAGGAAATCTGAGCATCACTTAGGGAGTTAGTGAACGATGCACCTTCAGCCTGGAGACACACGCCTGTAATCCCAGCCTGGGGATGTGGCTCAGTGGTCGAGGGCCCCTGGGTTCAATCCTCAGGACCAAAAAGAAAAAGAAAAAAAAAATGCAGTTTCAGGGCCCACCCCRTGAGTCACCATCTCAGGACATTCTGGCAGGAAAGCATGATCATCCATGGAGGAATGTCATCTCAGAAACTTTAGCAATCCTCCCTCCGGGTCCTGACCTTCACTCTCTTCTCTTTGCTTGCAGGGTGACACTGTATGCCGAGTTCCTTCCCATGAAAGCYAGGGCCAAGTGTATTTTGCTGATTGAGGTAAGGAGGGTGGGGGATGGGCCTCGAGAAGAGGCTGGCTCTCTGGCAGGTGATTCACAGGTGTCCTGAGACAGGGGACAAGGGAAAAGGACTTTAAAAAAAATTAACAGACTCAGTATGAGAAGACTCAGATGGACCCCTCACGTGGATTCTGACGGGCTGTTCTGCAGTCTGGACACACTCTTTGATTGACAGGAAAATTAAATCAATTGTCCCTTTAAAAAAAAAATGGTGGCRGTCAGGTGGTCCGTCCTTCTTCAACTGGAAATGGCTTTTACCTAAGAGTAGGCGTTGAATGACACCTTGAACGGACCAAACTCCTTCCTGTCCCCCCTCTTATCATCACCCGCCACCCCTGGTTTTCCCCAGGCTGGTCCATATCTTGTGAGTGATCTCTGTTCTTGGTCRCCTCCATGATCCAGCCAGTCCCACCTGCCCTCTGCTTCCTGGGCTTGTGGCCCATTTCCAACCATGACCTGAAGGATCTCAGGGCAAACACATGGCTTTCCAACAGCCCTCCACACAGGGGCAAAGGGTTGATTGGCCTCTGCTGGACACGGACGTCCACGGTATTGACTGTGAAGCCCCTGGGACCTCCTCTGTCACTGTGACTCCAATGACAGCATTGGTCATGTGACCCCAAGGCCAGATTATCCATCCTGGCAGCATGCGCTCCTGACCAGCTGGGGTGGGCATCAGCTGGTCTACACTGGATCAACCAGTTGTTTAAATCACAAAATGCATCTGGGTCCCCCTGATCCTGGGCTCCAACTAGCCCTTGTCACCTAACACCCCGTTCTCTCTCAGGATCCTTCAGAGCTTCCCGTGATCCAGCAGCTAAAGTGTTCTAAGTTGCTGAGGCTGGCCTCGACCTTGTGATCCTCTTGCCTCAGCCTCCGGGGGAGTTGCTGGAATGAGTGGGGTGCGCCACCACCGAGCTGGTTAAGGACCAGATGTTTGTAGTTGTAGATAGAGGGGTTCCAGCAAGGGACAGTAATGAAGGCACCCTTTATTACTGCAGGGTGTCACCACCCAGGGCTGTAAGGACAAAGGGACAGAGTAGTTAGCAGCCCAGAGTGCTGTCTGGTGAAGGCTCTGGAGAGGGGCCGTGACCCCCTGAGGGGTGCAGCCAGAGCTGCTGGGAGGGGGCCAGAGGAGTGAGGGGCTCAGCCTCTCTCCTGCCCTCCCGCCCTCCCTCTCCTGGGGCTCCCTGGGGCTGCACTCAGGGAAGACTTCGGATGGCATTGGGGCAAAGAGGTGCACAGTGACTTGCAGAGACATGGAGCAAGCCCACAGGGAGGGACCGGCCCATCCTGTGCAGGATGCCGGGCACCACGGGGCAAGGGGGGTGGACGGACCCGACGACAGAACAGCGTGTCTGTGTGTCATGCTCTGTGAGTGGCAGCATCACGCACAATAGCGGAGACACAGGAGCCAGGCACAGGTCCATCCGTGGATGCCAAAGAGGCAAAATGTGGTCCATCCACACAGGAGGATTTTTTTTTTTTTTTTTTGGTACCAGGGATTGAACCCAGGGGCGCTTATCCACTGAGCCCCACCCCAGCCCTTGTTCGAATTTTTATTTAGAGACAGGGTCTCACTGAGTTGCTTAGGGCTTTGGTAAGTTGCTGAGGTTGGCCTTGAGCTTGCAATCCTCCTGCCTCAGCCTCCTGAGCCGCTGAAGTGATAGGTGTGTGCCACCACACCCAGCCTAATAGAATATTATTCAGCCTGAAAAAGAAAGGAGATTCTGATGTGTGCTACAACTTAGATGAATCTTGAGGACATGACGCTGGGTGAAGTAAGCCAGACACAAGTAGATAAATATTGTATGATTCCACTTAGAAGAGTAGTTGGACTAGGCAAAGTCATAATAAAATAGTGAGCGTCGGGGCTGGTGGGAGGGCCAGGAGTTCCTGTTTCATGGATATAAAGTTTTTGTTTTACAAGATGGAAAGAGTTCTGGAGACAGACGGTGCGTTGGTTGTACAGTTTGAAAGTATTTCATAAAACTGAGCCATACTCTTAAAAATGGTTACAATGGGAAATTTTATATTACACGTATTTTGCAGAAAAAAGGAAAAACCCTAAACCCAAAACCTCTCAATGCGCCCACTGTCATTTTGACATCACATAATATTGAGCGTATTATCTGCTCAGCCTGAGCTGCTAAGCTGCGCGTCCAGCAGGATATGCAAATGCAATGCAAATGTCACGCAAATACCATGCAAATGAATGCAAATACCATTGGTGTGGTCAGGACCCTCTGAAGATGGAAAGCCTGACRGCCCTAGCCCAGCCCTCTGGACCGCAGGAAAAGGTGGCCATCCTGACCTTGCTGACCCCAGGGACCCCTCCCCACCCCACGACTGACCCCGATTCTCCTGTGCCAGGTCTTCTGGGCCCTGGGGACGGTGTTCGAGGTCATCCTGGCTGTGTTCGTGATGCCCAGTCTGGGCTGGCGTTGGCTGCTCATCCTGTCGGCCGTCCCGCTCCTCCTCTTTGCCGTTCTGTGCTTCGTAGGTATCTTTTAGAGATCTCCTTCGCTGCCTCACACTTGACTGTATTTGGTGGAAAGCAGGTGGAGGACAACACCAAGGCCACCTTTAAAATTTGTTTCTTGAAATCGGGAAATGAGATAAGGGGAGTGTAGCCCCAGTGCGGGGCGATAGATTTCCTCCAGACACTTCTGGGGTGCTCTCCTGGAAGACACCTGGGGTTAGGGGAATACATTGGCCCCATCATTGCCAGATCCACACTTAACAGTGACCATGGGGTTCATTGGAATTCTTAAGCTGTAAGTGACTGACACCTAATTCACACTGGCTTGAGTAAAACAAAGGGGTGGATGCATGACAGGATTAAATATCTGGCTTCAGGCATAGCTGGGTCCAGGAGCTCAAATTAGCTCTGCAGAAACCACACCCTATGGTGAGATCAAGCCACACACTCCCCATTTCATGCACAAAGCACTTTACTACCAGTGGAGTCCCAAAATAAGCCGATAGATGACCAGATCTCATGTATGGTAAATACTACAATAATTCATGGGTAACAACAATGGGTATTAATGATACTGGGTTTAACTGTGTGGCCATCTCTGTGCCAGGCTCTTTACATGTATACTTATTCCTCCCTGTAACCACATGGATAGGACTGATGAACCTCTACATTAACTAGGGGGGCAGATAAAGCCCACAAACTTTGTAGCTTAACACAATAGAAGTTTATTTCTCACTAACATACCAGTTGAGAATGAGCGTTCTGGATGGCCAGTGGGATTCTAGACCCAGATTTTCTTTGCAGCTTGGGGCTCTGCCATCTTCCAGGGCTTTGGACTCTTCTACATGCAGATAATAGACAGGGAAGGGAAAGTGGAGATTGCCCACTTGATTCTTGAAAATCCTGGCCCTGGGATAGTTTACTTACATGCTATTGGATAAAATAAAGTCACATGGTCTCACCTAGCTGCAAAGGAAGCTGGGAAATGTAGTCCATGGCTGGGCAGCCACAACCAATGACAACTCTGCACTCTGTTAAGGAAAGCATGAATTTTGGTGGGCATTGGCTAATCTCTGCCACAACCCACTTTAAAGATGAGGAAACTGAGTCCTAGAGAGTTCAGTGGACTTGTCAAAGGACCTACAACAAGTCAACAATGGGACTCATATCTGAGCTAGATCTTATGGACTGTTGGTTTTGTGCTTTCTCTGCTATACCTGCTGCAGCAGGTTACCATGGCTTCATTTGATAGAAATGTGTTGATCTGGTCACTTGGAGTTGGCACTCCATTAGGCTTTTTCTCTCTCTTTCTCTGAGTTTGCAAGATGATGCTCAACACAGGTGAGATAGTGTCTTGAGAATTGGGGGTGACATAATGGTGGTCACAATTTAATTCAGCCCTCCCAGCACCAAATAATAATAGGAGGTGACAGTAATAACTCCAGTAATCCAGGGGGCTCCGAGCCACACACTTTGCATAGATTATCCCATTTAGTGCTCTCAGCAACCTTACCTGGATGAATCTATTATGACCCCCATTTTATGGGGGAGGAAATGGAAGAACAGAGAGGTCAAGGCATTGCACAGGATCACACAGCCCATAAAATAGCAGAGTCGGCATCTGAAGCCAGGTCTGTGGTTCCAGAGTCCCCAGCTCGGCGACCCCACCCTCAGATGAGAGCCAGGGGCTGGGAAGTTCCCCCCTAACCAGCCATGCCTGGGTCTCCTGTCCCTGTAGTGGCTGCCAGAGAGCGCGCGGTATGATGTGCTATCTGGAAACCAGGAAAAGGCCATTGCCACCTTAAAGAGGATAGCGACCGAGAACGGAGCCCCCATGCCACTGGGGAAGCTCATCATCTCCAGACAGGTCAGTGCCTGGACCCCCGGCCGGGGGCATGCGTGTCTGTGTGCGTGCTGGGGAGCGTGTACGCGGGGACACTGTGTGCGCATGTCCATGTGTGGGCAGGCATGTGGGAGAGCGCATGTACCCAGGGTGGGGTCTACACGTGTGTGTGTGTGTGTGTGTGTGCGTGCGCGCACGCGCATGAGTGTGCGCGCATGCACATGGAGTAGGGGGGCGGGGTGCAGAGGCAGGATCTGCAAAGAGAATTTGGCAACTCCAATCTATGTGTCCTCTGCCAAGTTGTAAAAATGCTACGTGAACAGGTTAGCCCATGATAGGAGGTGCCCTCTGCTGATGGTCCTGTAACTGCCTCTGCTTTGGGTCTGCCTTTCAGGACTGATGAAGTCCAGCTAGTGAATGTGATTGATGGGCCACAGTTGTGCAGTAAGATCATTAAATGCTGGGGATGTGAGGGATGTGGTAGAGTGCTTGCTTAGCACGTGCAAGGCCCTGAGTCTCGTCCCCAGCACTAAATAATAAGAATAAAAAGCTGGACACAGTGTACATGCCTTTCATCCCAGCAGCTCTGGAGGCTGAGGCAGGAGGATCAAGGTTGGAGTCCAGCCTCAGAAACTCAGGGAGACCCTGTCTTAAAAAGAGCTGGGATGTGGCTCGGTGGTAGAATGCCCTTGAGTTCAATCCCCAGTACTGCAAAATAATAATAATAATAATAATAATAATAATAATAATAATAATAACAACTACAATAATTTATTACAAAGATATTTTTATTTGTGAAGACAGGGCTTGTGGTGAACTAAGTGACCTATTATCTGGAGGGCTGTTTTCATTGTTAGCATGTTTAAATATCAAGCATTTCCCAAACTGCTCCTAGGAAAAACATGTACATGAACTACATCAAAGAAGAGCATAGTCCCGGTCCTAGAATGTTTTTAAGGGAACATTGTAAAGCAGAGACTTGATGAGTTCTTGGATACTGATAAATCATATATCTCATGACATTAGCAAATGGGTCATTTAGCTCGTCTTTCAGAGGATTGTCCTGTGGTGGGTTGGCTTGTAGGTACCTTATTGTCACCTTGACCTAGAGCTAGCTTTGGAGGAGGAAGTGTGTGTGTGTGTGTGTGTGTGTGTGTGTGTGTGTATGCATGCATGCACATCCGTGCATGTGCATGAAATGCTTGCACACCCTTGGAATAGATTCCCACACCCTGGGTCCATGGGACTCCCTGAGGGACCTCATGGCATCCCAGTTGGAGGGGGTTGAGGCTGGCGGCGGTCGGTTGAGTCCTGAGTCCTCGGCATGATAGTCCTGCCCACAGAAGCTCCCTCCCAGCACTGGGGTGTACACAGGGGTCAGGCCACCAGCCAGAGCCCCACACAGCTGGAGGGGGGACAGTAAACCATGTGTCCTTGTCTTGAAACAGGAAGACCGAGGCAGGATGAAAGATCTTTTCACACCCCACTTTAGATGGACAACCCTGTTGCTGTGGTTTATATGGTAAGAGCTGCATGGCAACTGCTTTGGCCCTCCTGCACCACCGACCTGCCTGGAATTGGCTTTTGTATTAATGTGATGCACAGAGAATGTCTCCATCTCAGGCAGCAGATCTTGTTTTTGTTTTTGGTTTGGTTTTGGTTCCAGAGCCTGAACCCAGGGTGCTTAAACACTGAGCCACATCCTCAGCACCTTTTATATTTTATTTAGAGCCAGCGTCTCATCCAAGTTGCTCAAGGCCTTGCTAAGTTGCCAAGGCTGGCTTTGAACTTGGATCCTCCTGCCTCAGTCTCCTGAGCCACTGGGATTATAAGCGTGGGCCACCATGCCAGGCTCAAACTCGATATCTTTTAAAAGGAATTTTTATTTTTTAAACAAGGGCTGAAGGTATAGCTCGGTGGTAGATCTCTTGCCTAGCAAGGTTAGGCCCTGGGTGAAATCTTTAGTACTACAAAAAAACGAGTAAAAAACATTTTATATATCTGTTTTGAAGGAAAACACCTTAATTGCAGGCCATAGATAAAAGGTACTGTCAAAGTTAAATATAGTAAGCTGGGCACAGTGGCACAGATCTGTCATCCCAGTGGCTCAGGAAGCTGAGGCAGGAGGATTGCAAGTTCAAAGCCAGCCTCAGCAACTCAGTGAGGCCCTAAGCAACTTTATGAAACCTTGTCTCAAAATAAAAAAGGGCTGGGGATATGGCTCAGTGATTAAGTGCCCCTGGATTCAATCCTCAGTGCAAAAAAAAAAAAGTTAAATATGGTAAAAAGCAACTATGTTGAGCTTTGAAGCAAGGAGCCTCTATATTTAAGAATCAGAGATTGGGGGGCAGTGGAGATGTTATGGATGTATCTGCCCACACACGGGTCTGGGATGTAATCAAAAGAATCTAAAGGAAATTTAAAAGAGAATTTTCTACAATAAGAGTTAATAAACCAGGCACCGTGGTGCTGCCTGTCATCCCAGTGGCTGGGGAGGCTGAGGCAGGAGGATCTTGAATTCAAAGCCAACCTCAGCAATAGCAAGGCACTAAGCAATTCAGTGAGACCCTGTCTCTAAGTGAAGTACAAAAATAGGGCTGGGGATGGGGCTCAGTGGTTGAGTGCCCCTTGGTTCAATCCCTGGTATCCCCCCCAAAAAAATAAAAGTTAATATGCATGATCTGTTAGTGTTCTCTCCGACTCCATGGCCTTGGGTACCACTGGTGGTACACAGTCCATAGTTTGAGAATCAGGATTTGGTCAACTTGACCATTCTTGGAACTTCCAGTTCTAACTCTGTTCAGTTTTTCGTAAACAACAACCATAGGAAGGGGCCTGATCGGGGAGATGTCTGCAGAGAGCAATTATCTGAATCCACTTTCAGCCATCCTGTCAGCTAGCTTTCTATCAAGTCGTGAGCATCACGGTATCAACGGTGTGGAAAACCTGTCCAGGCTCCGTGTGCTCTTTTAAACCAGTTCCCAGCTTTGCTATCCACCTTTGAGCACCGCTGTCATGATGAGCAGGGCAGTGTCCCCACAGTGGCCAGTTACAGAGGAGAGGAGAAAAAACTCGATAATACACAGAACCAGGGTGCAGCCACCCCCACACTGAGCTGAATTCGTTCACCAAACCCATGCAAATGTGGAGGGAGCAGATTTTTCAGGGGGTTGGCTGGAGTGGAGAGCACCTCCCTATCCAGCAGGAAGCCAGTTGGGTGGACAGCCCTGGGGGGAGGCGTGTGTCTGGGTGTGATGCTGCTGACCTTTCAAAGGGCACAGAATCAATTCTTTGGATGACATCACCTGCTTGCTTGGTGCCTGTCATCTTCCTGCCCAGGGTCTTCAGGAAGGCGCTCAGAGACTCAGCATGGTCCACAGACGCCCCGCACCCGCTGTGGACGCGGATCCTTCCCAAGGGTGTGGGAGGAGAGGTCTGGTGCCCTGCTGAGCCCTTCACCTCCTTGCTCTCTCCTGGCAGGTTTTCCAACGCCTTCTCTTACTACGGCTTAGTCCTTCTCACCACAGAGCTTTTCCAGGCGGGAGACGTCTGCAGCAGTGAGTACCCAGATTTCCTCACCAGCCCCTCCCCTGGCCCCCGCCCCAGCAGGCGCACGCTGGCACCCACTCCCACGCACACCGGTGGCTGTCCTCTATCAGCCTGGCCTGGCACAGACTGTGGCCTCCAAGATACTGCAGAGAAACCCAGATTGTTATTGAAAGCTTGGTCCTCGTCCCCAATGCCAATCCAGTAATGAGGACACTGTTCTGAGAAAAAGGAAAAAGAAGTTTTCTTGCTTTGTTAGCCAAGGAGAAACCAGGGGACTGCGCAGCAGAGGCTGAGATTCTGCCCAGAGGGGAACAGGGGTGTTTTGTGTTTGTTTGTTTGTTTGTTTGTTTTTTAAAGAGATGATTCAAGCTACATTCTCTGTAATTCACTTGTTGATTTGGGAGATGGGCATTTCTGAGACCTTCTGGTGCACTCCCAAGTCTGAACTCCTCTGTTCCGGAGGTGAGGTGCTCCTGTGCTCAAGGACACGGAACTCTGCCTTGGACGGGGAGGAAAGGCCACCCTGTTTTCAGGGAGATTAGGGACCGGGAAAGATTTGGTAGCAGTAGAGAGTGTGGAAGAGAAAGAAGCAGGTCTTTTAAAAAATAAGTTGCAAGCCAGGCGCGCCTGCATCCCAGAGGCTCCAGAGACTGAGGCAGGAGGATCGCGAGTTCAAAGCCAGCCTCAGCATCAGTGAGGTGCTAAGCAACTCAGGAGACCCTGTCTCTAAATAAAATATAAAATAGGGCTGGGGAGGTGGCTCAGTGGCCAAGTGCCCCTGAGTTCAATCCCCGGCACCCCCCAAAAAATATTAGAAATAAATAAGTGGCAGTGGCAGAGCAGCAAGGGCTAAACATTCAGTGCATAAGGTGGACCACCTTTACAAGGTGACCTCGTCACGATGGAGTCAACATTACAGTCTCGTTTTAGGTCAGGGTGAGGGGTCCTGAGGTTAGCACATCAATGTTTTAGTTTATTTTAGTAGACAGCAATTCATGAATCTGGCAGTGCCAGTGGTTTGGGCTTCGCTAAAGGGATACAAGGAGAAAACTTTTATAAGTGTCAGAAAACCAAAGGGCAACAGATTTAGGTTTCAAATCTAACTGGGGGAGTAGGAATGTGACTCTGTTAGGATTCCGGCTTAGCATGCCTGAGGCCCTCCATTCAATTTTTGGCATCACACACACACACACACACACACACACAATTTTTGTTTTTTTAAATAAAATAAAGATCTAATTGCTGAGCATGGTGGCGTACATCTGCAATCCCAGCGACTCAGGAGGCTGGGGCAGGAGGATCACACGTTGGAGGCCAGCCTCAGTAATTTATGGAGGCCCTAGGCAACTTAGTAAGACCTTAACTTTGAAAAACACAAAAAGGACCGGGGATGTGGCTCAGTGGTAAAGTGTCCATGTGTTTAATCCCCAGTAACAAAACTAAGAATGGAAAAGATCTAATCGGCTTTTCTTGGTGTAGAGTTGGGGAAAACCCCATTCCCTAAAACAGAAAGGGTGTCCCGATGGACAGCGCCCAGGAGGGGAGCCCTGGGGTGGAAGAGGGCTGAGAGAACCAAAAGTGGAATGGAAAGCAGATGGGTTGTCTAAAGTCACTTTCCCCAGAGGGTTCAAACCCGGGGAACGTCCCTGTCAGGTCCCCCAGGCCTTTCCTATTGCTGCTGTGACTCCAGCTTTGGCAAAACCGACCCATCTCAAAGTTCAGTTTCACTCTAAGCCGTCAGGTCAGGGGGACCGGGACGGTGCTGGTGCAGGAGGCAGGTGCAGGGGGGGTGTGGCAGGTGCAGGGGGCTGGTGCAGGAGCCGGGGCAGGGGGCAGGGGGCAGGTGCAGGGGCCAGGGCAGGGGGGGCGGGCCGGAGCAAGACCTCCCCTTTACATAACCTCAGGCGCTCAGCGGAGCTTGACCAGGACGGCGATTGGTTACCCCGAGCCGAGGGCGGGAGCGGATGGTTTCTGATTGGTTCCGCTGGGTTTCATTTTGCTACTAGGAACCCATTGCGCTGGGGCAGCTTGGCCTCGTGGCCTCCCRATTAGCCTTTCCCCACTGCCCTTGAGGTGAAAATGGCCTGTGGTTAAAATGACCTTYGTCAATCCCCAGAGGAGCCCAGGAAGTACCTCCATCCACAGAATCAGGTTCCTAATTGTCTTCAGAGCCTTCCCAGTTCTCTTTCTGATATTAAGCTTCCATGATCCTGGTTAATGGTGTTGTTTATTGTAGCTCAGTGGTAGAGCTTGGGTTTAGTATGCACAAGGACCTGGGTTCAAGCCTCAGAACAACAACAAGATTTTTTCTTATTGGTGGAAGGATTTGATTAGACAGTGGGGTCCCATGGAGGTCTGGAGGGTAGGAGCCGGGCCTCCAATCTCCAGCAACACAAAAAACAATTTTTAAATCAAGATCTAATTGCAGGGTAGAGCCAGTTCACACTTGTAATCTCAGCAACTCAGGAGGCTGAGGCAGGAGGATCACAAATTGGAGGTCAGCCTCAGTAAATTTAGCCATGCCATAAGCAACTTAGCAAGACCCTACCTCCAAATAGGACTGGGGGTATATCTCAGGGGTAAAGTGCTCCTTCAATCCCTCATTCTGATTCTTGTGTGGAGGCTCAATCAAAATCTGGGTCCATTCCCACTCCTGACCTCCCCAACAACCCTGTCCTGTGTTGAAGATTGAACACACAGAAATATTGAGGGAAGAGCAGAAAGTTTTATTGAAAGGATAGAACAGAGGTAGTAGCCTCCTCCGGAGATGGGCTGGGACCCAGAACTGTGCTGGGGAGTGGGGATGTCCTGTCCCTGTTATAGATTTTAGATTTCCTGTTTCTTATGTCCCATCCTCCTCTTATCTTGCCTACTTGACCAAAAGGTGGAGAAGGAGCCTCCCAGGGGTACAGACAGGAAGGGAGTGGCCCTGGGGACATTCATTCATTACTGTTTGTTGGGAGGAACAGTACCCTGGAGACAGGTAACCTTGCAACAGGTGGGAGGAAGGGGAGGTGTCCTGAAGGTATTAGCATTTAATTGCCTTTCCTTTCCAACCAGCCCCCATCTTCTCCACCTGACCCACTGACCCACCAGGTCATCTGTGGACGATAGGTGCCTTTTGCACCCCACCTTGGCACCAAAAATAAAAATAAAATTGGCTATTATTAGCTCTGCAGAAAAGCCTTTATCTCAGAGTTGTTGCCAGAGGCCTGAGTCCAGGGGTCCCAACTAATCAGGTCTGGCTACTTGCTCCCCAAAACCAAGGAGGACAAAATCATGGTGGAAAGAAGGAGAAGAACTTGGATCAGTGTGGTCACATTGGGAGAGCAAAGTGCAACCCCACAGCTCAACCCTGAGCTTTAGTTTAAATAGAGGAAGAACTGGGTCAGGGCGAGAGGTCTCGTCATTCAGCTGTCTTAATTACTCACTAATTATGTCCTGGMGGACTGTTCTCAGTTCTGGTTCTGAAGGAGGCTCTTTGTCCCTTGGGAGGGAGGGCATTCCCACTTGCTGCTAGAGGCTCACCTGGCCCTGGAAGGGACGGGTTCCGGTCCATGATATCATGGCCCCGGCTGGGAGGTGGCTCTACAGTGGGCTCCTGTCCCCGTGAGACCAGGACTGAAGACTTCTAGGCGCGCCTTCAGGGTCTGAAACAGGAGGCCGTGAGTCTTGCCTGGTCTCGACGGGGACCAAGTAAGTTAGGGGAACTCAGGGCTGAGCCGCCTTGTTGTGCTGGTTTCTAGTTGCGAGGTGCTGAAGGGATCTGACAGGTTGACAGCTGAGCAGGTGACACAGCTTGAGGTAATAAAGGGGACGACACCAAGGAAGGGGAGAGGCCAAGCTTCCTCCGGATTTCAGTCACCAGGGGCATCAGCTCTGYTTTTCCCCAGTGTTACTGGCCTGACTCTGGGGATGGAATAAATCGGGACCAGCCAAGACCCAACAGGACTCTCCCTGTCCCACTCTCTCCCTAGTCTCCAGCCGCAAGAAGGCTGTGGAAGCCAAGTGCAGTCTGGCCTGCGAGTACCTGAGTGAGGAGGACTACATGGACCTGCTGTGGACCACCCTGTCTGAGTTCCCAGGTGAGGGCCCTAGGCCGGGTGAGGCCGGGCAGGGACGCCTGAGACCATGGCATCTGCTCAGCTGGGGGCGCCACCTCGGCCACCCAGATGCAAGTCCCCGTTTCTAGGGAAGCCAGGGATTTTTTTTTTTTTTTTTGAACCCTTAGCTACAAGCAGTCAAGAACTGTGATGGGCTGAGATTTTTTTAAAGGGGTGGAGATTTGGCTTCATGGTATACAGGGGTCCTAGGTTCGATCCCCAGCACTGGAAAAAAAACAAACAAAACAGAAATTCTTTGAAGCCTGACTCGTTAAGCTGCCCAGATTCATGCATGCTAGCAGAAGACAGGAATCTCCTGGAAGAAAGCAACATGATTTATACATTGTATCAGTTCCTCTTGCCCCAAGTCCCACACCCATGATGAAGAAGAGCCAATGGGATGCTATACGTGCAATAGATTTGCAACATGGCTGAGTGTGTGAGTCCATTTTTCATTACTGTAACAAACTACCGGAGACTGGCTACTTTATAAAGAAAAGAGGTCTATTTAGCTCAAGGTTCTGGAACTTAAGTACCAGGTTCCAGCATTGGGTTGGCTTTGGTGGGTGATATGACAGTGGTGGAAGCACATGAGAGAGGGAGAGATGGCAGAGCAAGACAAGAAGCAAAAGGCACTGGGCAGGGGCAGTAGCAGCTTCCCCCTGGACCCCACTCCTCAAGGTCCCACCACCTCTCAACATCACCACACTGAGGACCAAGCTCCCAACAAAGAACCTTTGGGGGGATACATTTGAACCATATCCCAAACATAGCCTTGAGGAACCCCAAGTAGGAAACCCAGATCTTTTATAATGGGCTGCTGGATGTCTGTCCATCCTTTGCTCCAAAGGGAGACATCATCTTTATTATATTACCTAGTGAACGTAGCTGCCCTCTGCACCACAAGGAGACAATACCTGTACCTTCCAAGGCTGTATGCAGACAATCCTACAATGACAGTGTGAAATGATAGTCAACTTTGAAACCAGGGCTCTGCTCCTGAGATATGCAGAGATACAAGAGACCCAGGGAGAATTGCCCACCAACACCAGGAAGATGGGAAAGGACGGAGGGGCGTCCGAAATGCAAAACGCACGTGATACAAAGGTTAGGTATCTTTTTTCCTTCAAGAGGAATGGTAATTGCAACACTAAGATCATCAACTTTTTTTTTTTTTTTTTAAGTATCAGGGATTGAACTCAGGGGCACTTAACCACTGAGCCCCACCCCCAGCCCTATTTTGCATTTTATTTAGAGACAGGGTCTCACTGAGCTGCTCAGGGCCTCGCTATTGCTGAGGCTGGCTTTGAACCCGAGATCCTCCTGCCTCGGCCTCCCGAGCCTCTGGTTTGACAGGCGTGCGCCACCGCGAATACTTACTGTATACCAGGAATGCTGCCAAATGCTTTACGATACGAGCTCAGTCATCTTGTGAAGTAGTATAATTAATCCCATTTTACGAGGGAAGACGCTGAGACTTGGAGCAGCGATGAAACTTGACCAGTGTAGTGGAGATGGTTCCTACGGCTTACCTCAACCAGTCTCTGCATCTCTGAGCATCAGGGCTGTACCTCAGTGAAAAGCCTCTGTATCTGCAAGGGGGCAGCTGGAAGAGCAAAGTTGATGCCCAGGAGCAGCCTTCCAACACTGACCGCAGGGCTTGGGGTATAAACACCCGGCTGCCTTGCCCACCAGGCAGGAGGGTCCACGGGGCGGGTCCTGCTGGCTCCCAGGTCCTCCAGTGGAACTCGGCTCTGATGGCCGGCACGGGAGTGACTTGCTTGAAACCTGACCTTCTTGGTCATCTTCCCTCATCCCACTGCCCACGGTGCTCCTGGTGCCCGCGTGAACGACCTTCCGAGTCTGCCCCTGGCACCTGCATCCTTGTCCCACCGTCCACTTCTGGGAAGACCCAGCCAGGACGCTGAGCGTCCCACAGCTGGCAAAGCTAAGAGCTGCGTCCCTGCGCAGGGTCCAGAGTCTAACCCTGTGACACTCTCACTTACCTAAAGCCCTCTCCTCATAGAGCGTACTAGGTAAGACTAAAGGCTCACAGGTTAAGGCTCAGCCCTGCCACTCACCATCTCTGCGATGTTCAGTGTGTGACATCTCCATAACTTTCAGCACTCACCGTTCTTGTGATTCATCTCTGAAATGAGATTCTTCTTTCCTTGTTTATTGTTTTATATGTTTTTTTTTAATGCATTGGTACATCCCAACCTCCTAGCATAGTTCCTGACCACAGTAAACACCCTATTAATCAACTATTGAATGTAAAAAACGGGATTATTGGTAGTGTTTATTTGGAAAGCTCTTTAGATGATTAAATATGATAATAGATCTAACAAGTATTTCCCCCAAATATAATCATTAGTAGTAATAACAATCACTATGCAATATGGCGTCTACTGATTTAGGAAAGTTAGGGTTTTTTTGGGGGGCGGTTAGTATTTAGTCTCATTTAACAGATGAAGAATCTGAGGTTCAGAGAAGACCAGGGACTAGCCCAAGACCACAGGGCAAGTTAAGAGACAGATGCGGTCTTAGAACCGGGTGTTTCTCACTCCCAGCCTGAGCATTCTGCTGCCTGGATTCAGTGAACGTTGCCATTCCAGTTCTCTTTGGCACCTGTATTACCTATTGTCATGCCACAAAGTGTCACAAAGTTTAGTGGCTTACAACACCACACTCATTATCTCACAGTCGCTTGAGTGGGTCAGGAGTCTGGGGGTCATGGCTTCCTTTGGGTCCTCTGCTTTGGCCCATCTCCCCCTGCTGCCGTTAAGGAGTCGGCCGGGGCTGTGGTCTCATCTGGAAGCCCGTCTGGGCCAGACTCTGCCTGCACGTGGCCCTTGTCATCGAAATCCTCCAGGGTGGCTGGACGGAAGGCCTGAGTTCCTCCCTGGCTGCTGTCTGGAGGTCACCTCGGGTTCTTTGCCAGGTCACCTTCTGCATCAAGCCAAGGGCGCTAGAAGAGCCGGGAGAGAGGGGGCGGGGGGTGCCGGCAAGACGGAAGCCAGTCTTGGGAACCCTAACCCGAGCAGTGACCTCCCCTCCCCTCTTCTGTCCTTAGAAGCGAGCCACTGGCTCTGGAGCACTCTCACGGGGAGGGGAGGACCAGGGTGTGCATGGCAGGGAGGGTCATTGGGATCCACAGCAGAGGCTGCCCACCATGCCCCTGCTCCCCGGCAGGCGTCCTGGTGACTCTGTGGATCATCGACCGCCTGGGCCGCAAGAAGACCATGGCCCTGTGCTTCGCCATCTTCTCCTTCTGTAGCCTCCTGCTGTCCATCTGTGTCGGGAGGTGAGTTCCCAGAGGGAGGCTCACGGCTGCCCGGCAGCTGCCCAGTGCACCAGGCTCGAGGCTGGGGACTGTGACGGGGGTGAGCGCAGCAGGGACCTTTACCCCGGGTTTGCTCTGATAGCATCAAATCCAGGCTTTGCCCTCCTCTCCCAGTGAGATCAGGGCTGTCACACTTAGGCAGGGATTCAGAGCGTCCGTTGGTTCAAAGGAACCTGACCCCGTTTCAAGTAGACCCAGCCTGATAATTGGGCATTTCTCCATTTTCCCAAGTCCCAACAACCTCAGCCTCTAGAAGCGATCGGTGCCTTCTCTTGACCTGAGAGATCCCAGACCAAGCCCCAGGAGGAATCTATGGACCATGGAAGCCAGGCGAGAGGCAGCTTGGACCAGGAAATGTTGGCATTCTGGAGTGGGACCGCCGAGGGTCGGGAATCAGGATTGTCCTATGAATACTGAATACCCGTGTCCGTTCCCTGGCTCAGCTGGCTCCTGGCTCCATTCCTGACCCCCTAAGTTCCTCTCTGGGCTGATTATTTGTATCCAGTCTCGCCCCCAAACCAGGCACTACAGACGTCCCCATGTCTCAGCCTGGTACCCTGGAGAGGGTCCTGGAATATGTATACCCAGGGGGACTGTCACTACCCCAGGGAGACTGTCACTACCCTGTGTGTCTATGTGTGCGTTCGATGGAGGTGACCTTCACCAATTTCCAGGGTTTAAATTCCACCTGGAAAGGTAGGATTTTGCTGAGGGGCAGGTGTGTGTGTGTGTGTGTGTGTGTGTGTGTGTGTGCGTGCGAGCGCGAGTGCGCGTGCACATACACACAAATACCTGATCACCTGCTTTTTTTTCCTTTCCCCAGAAACGTGCTCACCCTGTTACTTTTCATTGCAAGAGCGTTCATTTCCGGAGGCTTCCAAGCAGCCTATGTTTACACACCTGAGGTAGGAGAAGGGTCTGGGAACGGCTGGGGTGGGGTCGGTGGGCCCCATAAACTGCCGCCTGGCATGCTCCCTGGAATGTGTCCTTGGGTCCAAAGGGCAACTGGGAAACCCTCCATAAAAACACCTGCTCAGTAGCAGAATCCAGATGTCACCTACCTGTGTGAACACAGAGAGAAAGGACCCCGCATTCTCCTCCCTGGGGACAACTCTTTCCAAGCTGCCTCTGTGGGTGCGTGTGAGCAGTCCCATTGGGCTATCAGTCACTGAGAAGAGTTTAATAAAGGGACTGGTTACACAGGTATGGCACAGAGCCTAGGGGAACCAACGCCCCAGAGTGTACAGTGAGGTGCAGGTGCCCAGGGGGACTGTCACTACCCAAAGCTGGTTGGGTGAAGAGAGAGGTGGGTGGAATTCTTTTTCTTTTTTTTCTTTACTTTTTTTTTTTTTTTTTTTTGGTGGTGGGGTACCAGGGATTGAACCCAGGGGCACTTAACCCCCAAGCCACATCCCCAGGGCTTTTTATTTTTACTTTGAGACGGGGTCTTGCTAAATTGCTGAGGCTGGCTTAGAACTCATGATCCTCCTGCCTCAGCCTCCCGAGCTGATGGGATTACAGGCATGAGGCTGGGTGGGATTTTTAATGGAAGGAGACAGTTGACATTTAAATCTCAGTGTTCGGTAATCAAGTTTGATTGTGACACACCATACCCTTTCAAGTATAGATGATTCACTCTGTGTGTGTGTGTGTGTGTGTGTGTGTGTGTGTGTGTGTGAGATCAGGGATTGAGCCCAGGGCTTTGTGTGTGCTAGGCAAGCGGTCTACCCCTAGGCTACACCCCCAGCCGCACAGATGATTCCTGATTTCTAAATGTTCAGCTTTCGGACGGAGTGAAAGCCCTGTGCTATTCAGTAGCACCCACCCTGTGGTGTTGGGTAGGTTAGGTGTATTAAGCGCATTGTTGAGTTTTTAACTTGGAAGGGATTTATTGGGCTCTATCTAACCCATCCTCAGGCAAGGGACCTCTGTCCATGGGGGCTGCTCTGTGCTCTTTGGCATGGATGCCAAAGACCATCTGACCGGCACAGCCCAGCGAAACTGTAACAAATAACCCCCAACATGGAATTGGTTGATGTGAAAGGAGTTCCTCACCTGTGAAGCAGTCCAGTATGCGGGATCTAGGTTGGGGAGCAGCTTTCCATCCTGCAGTGATCAAGTGACTTTGTCCCCCAGGGGATATTTGGCACCATCTGGAGATGCATGGGGTTGTTGTAACTTGGGGCCAGGATCAGAGGCCAGAGATGAGGCTGAGCTCCCTGCACAGCAGGGTCCCCATGAGAGAGAAGGACCCATCCTGACGCCCGAGGGTGCTGAGGTCTGGAACCTGCCTGCCCCAGGGTCCCAGAGTCTTCCCGGAGCCAGAGGAGGCCAGTGGAGAGGACATGTCCCCAATGACGATCTTGGCCTGAAAGATGCACGTCCCCCTCTCTTGGTCCAGGGGACAGCTGTGCACGTGGCCACACTGGGGTGTAAACAGAAGCTGTGTAGCACTCTCATCTCTCTTTGTGAAATCCCTTGACAGCCCCTGGTCAGAGCCTTAAGGGGAACTCGGGAGAAGTCACAGGTGGGACCCTGTGGGTACAGAGGAGTCTCTGGGGGCCTCCCGGGGCAGAAGGAGCCCCAGACTGGGTTCTTGCCCACATCCACCCCTGGGCCTCTGCCTTGGCTGAACTTGCCGCCCACTTTGGGGTGCGAATGCCCCTGCCCCCCGTCTCACACCCATTAACTGGGTCAGCAACACCTGGGGGACGTGTCTGGACTTCAGGCCTGCCCGTGGGGGTGGTCACTTCGGTCCTGAGCTGCAGGGGACGGAGGGAATTTCGCATCTTCCTGAGCCCACGTTTGGTTCCGTTCCAGGTCTACCCCACGGCGACACGGGCGCTGGGCCTGGGCACCTGCAGCGGCATGGCCAGGGTGGGCGCGCTCATCACGCCCTTCATCGCTCAGGTGGGTGTCACCCGAGGGCAGGGGAGGGGCTCCCGAGCCCAGGGCACAGTGAGCAGCCGCTGTCCCTCCGAGCCCTCGGGGTTCACTTCACGAGAGTGGGCCTGCCACCCGCCTGCGTGCAGATGGGAAGAGAGGCACAGAGGGATAGAGGAGTCACCAAGGTCACACAGCTGGGACCTAGACAGGGCCACAGTGGAATTCAGGTCCTTCCTGGGCAGGAGAAACCCTTTGAGTGCCAGATGGTTTGACCCCAAGCAATTTTGATAGGCTGGGCATCAGTGCCCTGGTGTGAGGCAGGAGGGGGGCCAGAGCCCAGGAGTGTGAGGCCAGCAAAGCCAACAGACCTACCCCCGCAGTTTGGGGGATGAAAAATAACTGGATCAACGTGGGAAACTAATGTCTTAATCTCTCTTTTCAAAACGGAATTATAAGGGATAGTTACACAATTTCGCGACTCTGTGCGCCTCTAAGCATTTCTGTTTAGTTTTGGGGATCTCACTAAGTCTATTGCTTTTTGAATATCCAACATTTTTTTTCTGTTTTAATTGAGATAAAAGTCCTGTAATTAAAAATTTTTTTTTTTTTTTTGGTACCAGGGATTGAGCACAGGGGCACTTAACCACCTGGCCACATCCCCAGCCCTTTTTATTTTCTTTTTATTCTGAGACAGAGTCTTGCTAAATTGCTCAGGGCCTTGCTAAGTTGCTGAGGCTGGCCTCAAACTTGCAATCCTCCTACCTCAGCCTCCCATGTTGCTGGGATTATTGACAGGCACCACCACACCCAGCCCTCTGCCCTTCAAACTGCCATTCCCTCCATTCTCTCCTTCCCCAGTCCTTATCAGCTGTCCTTCTGCCGTCTGTCTCTGGGGATTTGCCTGTTCTGGATGATTGAAATAAATGGAATTCCAACACCTGTGTGAGCCAAGTATCTCCCTGGTGCTGTGGTTGGCCACTGCACGTCACTCCTAGCTGAGGTTGGCTGTGAACCTGCCATGGGGCTGCAGAGTGCCAGGTGCTCTCAGCTGTCCTCACTCACGAGATAGTGCCCTTTGGCCCATTCCGCAGATGAGGAAACTGGAGTCAGCCGTGCCACGTGGCCTGCCGTGTGTTGTAAAGCTGGGAACTTGGCACAGGCCAGAGCAGAATTATAAGGAGTCCAGACTCTTGGGCTTGATGTGCTCAAGTTCAAATCCCAGCCCCATCCTTATTATCTGTGTAACCCTAGGTATGCTTTTACCCTCTCTGAGCCTCAGTTTTCTCCTCTGTAAAATGGGGGTAAAGTGCTCCGCTCCCAGGGCTGTTTTGTAGAGTGCCTGTGACGATTCCTTCCTCCCTCCATCCTTTCCGTCTTTCCTTCCATCCTTCCTTTCTATTGAACCCTAGGGTGCTTAACCACGGAGCCACATCCCCCCAGACTTTTGGATATTTTATTTAGAGACAGAGTCTCACTAGGTTGCTTAGGGCCTTACTAAGTGGCTGAGGCTGGCTTTAACTCAGGATCCTCCTGCCTCAGCCTCCGGAGCCACTGGGATGACAGTGGGCCACCACAGCCAGCCAGAGGGGATGTTCTCACCCACCTGCGTCTCCCTCCCCAGGTGATGCTGGAGTCCTCCGTGTACCTGACGCTGGCCGTGTACAGTGGCTGCTGCCTCCTGGCCGCTGTGGCTTCCTGTTTTCTACCCATCGAGACCAAAGGCCGAGGACTCCAGGAGTCTAGCCACCGGGAGTGGGGCCAGGAGATGGTTGGCAGAGGGACACACGGTGCAGGTGTCGCCAGGTCGAACTCTGGCTCTCAGGAATAGTGACCGCTGGGGAAGCTGAGCTGGTGTCTTGGAGGCTGCGGAGCCCAGCCGGGCTGCTCGTGGTCACTGCCGACGACGGGAACTCACCCGAGAAGACGGCTGGACTCACAGGGTTCTGTGTCTTGACTCCGTTTGCCGTGTTCCCTGAGGCCGCCCGGGATGGGGAGGCTCTGCCCTAGGGGTCCTCTGTGTAGGGGAAGGCTTTCTAACGACCTGTGGGTCTGCATGGGAAAACTGCCACTTGTAGGTGAGTCTGGGGGTCCTGGCAGCCAAGCAGATGCCCCCCAGAGTCTCCTGTCACACCTTCAGTGAACCACCACCAAAAGATCTCTGTAGATACCGTCCAGGCCCAGACCCCTGTGACACTTGCCATCCACCAACTGGACCTGTTCAGTAGGTGTCTCCTACACCCCCCGGCCCCAGGCTTTCTTCTTTGAGATGACAGGTGACCTAGGTGTGTGGCCTGAGCGGCTTGTTCTTAGACTGGGGAAATGCTCTCCTGCCCGTCTGCAGGGGTCCCCCTGACTCCCCGGGGTCTGCCCAGTGGAGACTGGCTGGTGCACCTGCATTGGAACCTGAGCCCGGTGTCCCCGCGTGGCTACCTCTGGAATCGTGTCTCTGGCTCCAGGGCCTCCGGACGTGTCCCTGGGAAGAGCAAGGTTTGCACCCGATGGCAAACTCAGAAAGCTGTGATCCCACTCCCAGCCCAGAAATTGGGGGCTGAGGCTCAAAGGAGGAGAAATTCAAGCTCGAAGCCCAAACAGGAGTCACCCCTGTAGCAGCAGCAAAGGCCACGCTCAGGCGTTCTGTCCAGGTCTCCTCCTGGGCCAGCCTGAGTGGTGCCTCCTGGGGAGAGGAAGTGGCTCACTCGGGTTTCAAGGTTGGATTTTGCACCCAGGTAGGGGGCTGAGTGGGCAGAGGAACCAAAAGGACATGCCTGCGTCGGGGTCAGGGGAGCGGGAATCCCTGATGCGCACATGCTCCTTCCTTCCTGTTTGTGGGCACCCCCTGTTGAGGGCTGTGCTGGTCCAGACCACACAGAGGCAGCTCCTGGGCTCCCACCCGTGGCACCGCCAGTGGGGATCCTGGAGTGGGGAAGAGCAGGAAGGCCCTGATGTGGGAAGAGTGAGCATTTCCAGAGGAGGAGGAAGGAGGCCGTTGGGGCTCGGTGTTGGCCTTCAGAGGAAGCCGGCTGCATCCCTCCCAGGATTGGTCGACCCGAGCCTTTTCCCCACGGAGAAGGCCAAGGACCTACGGAGGGAGGAAGGAGGCTGCCAGATCCCCTCCCAGGCCAGAGAGGACCCACCCGTTGCTCGATGTCAAGGGAGCCCAGTGTGTGCGTTCATCTCCTATTAAAACATGTCGGTGACGGACGAGGCGGAGGTCTAAGCCTGCTCATTTGTCACAGTGTCCCAGTGGCCGTGCAGTTTGACAGTCTTGGGAACTCTGTCCATCCGAGGAAATCTCAGCGTTTTGATAGGATGAACTCTTCCAAAAAGAGGGGGAAGTTGCCCAATTGACCTGTACCATCGGGCCTGGGCATGACCCTTGGTTCTAAGGTGTGGAGGACATGATGGACGACTTCTTCAGGCTCAAGTCCTAGGTCAGCTGCAAGCACTCCCCAGTCCTTGGAAATAGGCTGCAATCCTCCCCATTCCAGGCTGTCCGACAGCACACAGCTTGGCAGATCTATCTCTCTCTCTCTCTCTCTCTCTTTCTGACATCCACATTTTCTTGAACTCCAAGTGATCTCTGGACATCTGAGTTCTCCTAGGTAACACAGAATCTTTTATTTATTTATTTATTTTGCAGGGGTGGGTGTGGGTACCAGGAATTGAACTCAGGGGCACTCGACGACTGAGCCCCATCCCCAGCCCTATTTTGTGTTTTATTTAGAGACAGGGTCTCACTGAGTTGCTTAGGGCCTCGCTTTTGCTGAGGCTGGCTTTGAACTCGTGATCCTCTTGCCTCAGCCTCCCGAGCCTTTGGTTTTGTCTTCTTTTTTGCTTTTTGCCTTCCAGCTGCTCAGATACTGCCAGTGGAACACATCTGCTTCTTCACCCTCAAATAATCCAGTAAATTGGGGACTGGGAAGGAGTATTTGGTAGGCAGGAAATGTTTTCTAGGGACTGTGTTGAAGCAATCAGTTTTCTACTTGAGAGAAAGAAAGTTTAAAATTCTTTACCTTCTAATTGGCTTGCCCTTTAAAAACAAATCAATGTTATTGAATGATATAAGAAATGTCACAGTAGTCATAAGTCTCTGAAATACATAGGGCCTGGGGCTGGGGATGTGGCTCAAGCGGTAGCGCGCTCGCCTGGCATGCGAGCGACCCGGGTTCGATCCTCAGCACCACATACCAACAAAGATGTTGTGTCCGCCGAGAACTNCCCGGGTTCGATCCTCAGCACCACATACCAACAAAGATGTTGTGTCCGCCGAGAACTGAAAAATAAATATTAAAAATTCTCTCTCTCTCTCTCCTCTCTCTTAAAAAAAAAATGAAATACATAGGGCCTGAAGCTGAAGATGTTTGTATCTAATTTTAAACAATTCTCTCAAAAGCTCCTGTTTCCATTAATGGAAATGTCATTTGTTTCTCTCCACTTTAGAAAGGATTCCAGAAAATGTTCAACATAGCCAGGGTCTTTGGTTCTTATTTCAGGCATTCTCAAGGGTACATAAATGACCTTGGTGTTGCTGGCAGTGACATGAAAGAGTACCTAGGGATCAGCTTTGAAAGGAGTGTAGATTGTGTGTGTGTGTGTGTGTGTGTGTGAGAGAGAGAGAGAGAGAGATTGAACTGAGGGGAGCTTATCCACTGAGCCACATCCCAGCCCTTTTTCATATTTTATTTAGAGACAGGGTCTCACTGAGTTGCTTCGGGCCTTGCTAAGTTGTCGAGGCTGACTTCAAACTCATGATCCTCCTGCCTCAGCCTCCTGAGCTGTTGGGATTACAGGTGTGCGCCACCCCACCTGGGGATATTCAATATCGTAATAATGATAATCACTGGAAGTCTTTGAAAGATGACAAGTTTCCCCGAGTTGTTACATCAAAGGACTGGCATACCCTTAGCCACAAGTAGCAGCTCAACAACAGCCTCAAAGTCAGGCAGAGTCCAGGGGAGCTTCAGCAGCTCAGCAGTTCATCAAGGACCCAGCTGCTTTGTGCCTTTCCTCCCTGTCATCCCCTGCATGTTATCCATTAGACCCTATGTGTGAAACCTCATGGTCACAAGATAGCTGTCAAAGTGCCAGGCATCAAATTTATTTTCCCAGGAAGTAGAATCGGAAGCAAGTGGTCAAGTGTGGCCTGGTCTCATGAGATGGAATGGAGAACCGGGAGCCCCCAGGCCCAGGCAGCTCCCTCTCTGCAGACTGACTTCCATCTCCCTGTGCCTGCTGTTCGTGCATAACTGTGCCTGTGGCTTCTGCTCCCTGGGACTCCCTGTCCTCACAACTGAGCTCTGCAGACACTGACTCAGCTGCTGGGTGTCCCACTTCTGAATTCTGGAGAAAAGAAGGTGATTGGCCCATGTGAGCACTGGTCCTGGGGCTGATTTTAGTTGGGTGGGGGGAGTGGAGTCAAGAGAGACTGATGTGGCAGCTGCGGCCTGCCCTTTCATCAGAGTATCACAGGCAGCTGCCAGATGTCTGAAACCCACAACAACATACCAACTTGGTTCTGTTATTAAAGTCTCTTGTGGATCGTGTCATGCACGGGGTCAGTGTGTGTGGAGTAACTGCCAGGAACCGGATGTGAAACTCAACGCCAAGGATGCAAAAATGACAGCATGTGGTCCTTGTCTTTTTGGCTTTTTTTGTTTTTTTTTTTGTACCAGGGAGTGAACCCAGAGGCACTTAACTCCTGAGCCACGTCCCCTCAGCCCTTTGTATATTTTACTTAGAGACAGGATCTTACTAAGTTGCCTAGAGCCTCGCTAAGTTGCTGAGGCCGGCTTTGAACTTGTGATCCTCCTGCCTCAGCCTCCTGAGCCACTAGGATTACAGGCGTGCACCACTGAGCCCAGCCATGGTCCTTATCTTAATGAGACACAGTGAGGTAGGAGAACAGGCCCAAACACCATTGTAGAAATGTGACATGGGCCCTGCTGGACAGAGGAGGCACCCAGGCTGCAAACCCAGAAGCTCTGAAACCTCATGAAACATCTTCTGACCCCGCAAAATGGCTTCCCTGTGGTCACTTACTACCTTCTACTCTTGAGCACCTTAGACATCACATAAAACCATCCTTGATTAGTCAAGGATATTATATGATGAGCTCCTTCATACGGCCCATGCCAGAGAACAGAGCACTTCCTTTTCTCTTATCTTTTTTGAACCCAAAGGTGCTCTACCTACGAGCTACATCCCAGTTCCCTCTTATTTTTTATTCTTGGCTTTGCTAAGTTGCTGAGGCTGGTCTTGATCTTGTGATCCTCCTGCCTCAGCCTCCCGAGTGGCTGGGATGACAGGTGTGCCGGCTGAACAGCGTGCTTTCCAGATCTATCAGTAAGAACATAATTCCACTCCCAATAGCATCAAAGAGGGTAGCAAATGTAACAAAAGGATTGGAAGACATGCCAACTACAAAATGCTGCTGAAAGAAACATCGAAAAAAACTGATAGATATTCTCTGTTCACGCATGAGAAGACTGAAAAGTTTTAAGATATCAATCAACATTCATTGAATTTTCTATAGCTTCAACACAATCAAAATCTTAGCTGGTGTTTTTACAGAAATTGGCAAGCTGATTCTACAACTCACATAACTATGCTAAAGACCCATAATAACCACAAAGAAAAGAAAAGGGAAACGAGAAGGAAGGAAAGGGAAGGAGAAGAAAAAGGAAAAAAAAAACTTGAAAAAGAACAAAGCTAGAGGACTCATACTCCCCAATTTTAAAATGCATTACAAAGCTACAGTAAGCAAGGCAGTGTGGTACACAGGGAAGTCCGATAGAACTCAGAGTCCCCAGAAAAACCTATACATTTATGGTCAACTGGTGTTCAACCAAGGTGTTAAGACAATGAAGAAGGAATAATCTTTTAAAAATTCATCAAGCTGCTAACAATCCCTGAAAGATCACCTTAAGGGAAAGAGAGGAGTTTTAGGTAAACTACAGAAATCCACGTTGACACAATCTCTAGGACCTCGTAGGTTACAGAATTCCTTCATGCTCCTTCCTATTCTGCATTTTAGGACAGAGTCATGAGGAAGCCATTATTTCCAAGAAGTTCTTACCACTTACAAAACAAAACCCAGAACAGAACAGGAGGGTCACCTGGGTGTGAACGTGGACTTTGCTGGCCTCATACATGGCATGCTGGCCCTCGAGCGCTGTGATGGACCAGGTAGCCTTGAATAGTTGGGGTCACTTTCCCTGAAGAATTTCAATTTGGGGAAAGAAATCGCTTAAGTTCTGAATCTCATTCTAAGTGCCATGGAGCGCCCCTTCCCGGGGAGCCTTGCTGGAGTCCCCTAGTCTTGTCCCCAAATGTGGTTCTGAGGAGGGGAGATTTACTTCCTTTTCAGTGTGTTTGCTGAGAGTTGGGCAAGAGGCCCAGCCAACCAATGCCTCTGTAACTGTAGGGGTTTTGTTTTGTTTTGCAGTGCTGGGGATTGAACCCAGGGCCTCATGCAGGCTAGGCAGGTGCCCTACCACTGATCTATGTCCCCAGTAACTGTCCATGTTCTCCTCAACTTGGAATTCACTATTGTGTGCTGGTTGAAAGTGAGATACCAGAGCCATAGTTTGGGGGCCTGAATCTTCCTTCTTCTCCTTCCCAACTCTTGACCTTGGGCTCCTTCCTGTGCCTCGGTCTCTAACCTACCAAGTGGGGATAAGAGCAACCCACGTGGCACTTGTGAGGATTGAAGAATAATGGGCACAGGAGCTGAGCACAGAGACTGCTACCCAGTCAGGAAGCAGTAGGTTTCAGCTATCGAAATAAAAATCACTGTCGTTAGGATAGAGCTCCTAGATCTTGGCGGTCTCACCCAATTCGGCTTAGGATTGTCCAGCATCATGGAAGATGCCTCATGCAGAACCCCGTGAAATGACATGGGAAGGGACCGGCACTGATGGCATGGGCAGAGCCTGGGGTAGCATCCCATGGACCAGCGGAGACCTCCCCGCAACACACAGGGTACCGCTGGTCCAAGATGCCCGAAGCGTCCTAGGCTCTGGGCCTTCCCACAGACCCAGACAGGTGAAAATTCAACCTCCGAGGTGGACGCAGGTAATGAGGGAAGAAGATGCTGAGGGTCTCTGTGATGGGTGATTTTAGGAATCACAGGACTGGATTAAGAAATACCTAGAGCGCAGGGTGTTTCCAGAGGAGACCAGGGTGTGAGGTGTTGGGCTCAGTGGGGAAGGGCGGCCCTCAGCGTGACAGGCACCATGCAGCACAGTGGCGCCTGGGAGAACAAGAGGCAGAGGAAATGCTTCTCTCTCTCTCCCTCTCCCCCCTCCTTGGTCTCTCCCTCTCCCCGGTCTCTCTCTCTCTCTCTCGGGGCTGGGAAGCTCTTCTGCTCTGGGACAGCAGAACCCCAGGCTTTCAGGCCTTTGAACTCTAGACTGACACCAGTAGGCCCCGGTGTCTCAGGCCTCTGGCCGCCGTCTTCCCTGGTGCCGAAGATCTCAGATTTGGACTGAGATGTGCTGTGAGTATCTGAGAGTTCTAGTGTGCAGGTCATGGGACGGCTCAGCCTCCAGAATCACAGCAGCCAATTCCCTTAACAAATCCCCTCTCATTTGTCTACCAACCCATCCATCCGTCCATCATCCATCCATCCATCCATCCATCCGTCCATCCATCCATCCATCCATATATCTAATCCATACATATCCATCATCTACCATCCACCCATCCATCCATCCATCCATCATCCATCCATATCCATCATCCATCCGTTCATCTGTCTGTCCATCCATGCTTTGGGTTCTGTCCCTCTGGGGAACCCTGACTAATTTAGTCTCCTAGGTTCATTTAAGGCTTTAAAAAACATCCAGCAGCCTCTTTTTCATCTCAAGGGTGCTAGACCCAAGATAAACCAGAGGCTAAATCTGCACACAAACCAGGAAGGTGCTTGGTGAGCTTAGCCTATAAAGGGGTTCCTGGATATCCTCCCAGGGGCCCCCTGAGAGGTTACCTGTGCCCATGAGGCTACTCTGTGGACAGCTGATGCCAGTGGAGTCCTGCGCTACCAGTTCCCTGCTCCACCTCCTCTGGCTCCCCCACACCCCAGTCCTACCTAAACCTCCTACAACGACATCTGCTACATCATTTCTTCAAGTGCGTTCTCAGGACTCGTGAGTGTTCTGGATGTCATGGCCAGACGGGTTCAGGAGGTACTGGGTTAAACAAAGTCAGGTAAATGTCTGTGCAGCAGGACTTTTCCCGAAACTTTAATTAATGTTAGTGTTAATAATCAAGTGAATTCCTCTCAGCTAGCCTCTATTTTCTGGGGTTCCAGGAAGCTGGTCTCTTTAGTTTTCTGAGCTGTCCTTTCTTCTGGGGACTTGTGGAGTAATAGCCTCAAGTGTCCTCCACAGCATCAGACCCAGAGGCAGCAGAGAGGCCTCAGTGATCAGAGGGGGGCGCCCGTCCAGGCTGGACTCTCCTCCAGGACCGGACCTTGTGTTCTCCTGTCCCCTCGGCCTTCTTTGCTGCAAGAATCCAGGGTGGGACGAGCAGGTTGTAAGCAAGAGCCGATCCAGGAGCCATGATTAGTGGGCCAAGGGGAACAGGGGGTCCTGGGGAAGGTGTCCTCAGAGGTGGGAGGGTGGCGTCCTGGACAACTTCCTTTCCTCCAGGATCTTGCCAAAGAGCTTGGTTGCCTCCAGGGCACAGCCCCAGTGAATGGTGATCCCTTGGCCTCCGTGGCCATAGTTGTGGATGACCTGGAGAGGCGAGAGGGAAGGTCACCAAGTGTGGCGGGGGGGGGGGGGTTGTGTGCCACAGTTAAGGACACCCAAGTGCCCTGGCAGACCCGAGAGCTTTCTCAGGTGGCCTTGGCAAAGCCAACGTAGGAGCTTCTCCCGGGGCTTTGGTGGGATGCTGGGCTCCTGGGAAAGCAGAAGGGGGATCGATGCGGAGCTGCAGGTCAACCCCGACTTGTCTTCTGCTTAGAGGGTGGGCCTGCTTTGTACAGGAAAAGCAGAATCCCATCCAGACCTCGAGGTGCGAGATCTCCACATCCAAGTGTCGGAAGCCCCCTGAGTCACCATCTGCTCCCATCCTGCTCGGGCTGGATGAACCCTCCCGGTCGACAGACAAGCTCTTCTACCCACCATGAGAAAAAGCAGGGGTACTGGGTGATGTGCTGATCCCCTCTGGGGACCCAGGAAGGCCTCTGGGCCTTTTTCAGAATGAAAATCATCAACAGGAAATGAAGCTCCATATCTGACTCCCCCCTCCACACACAGGACACACACAACGTCTCTGTATATTTACAACCTCTCCGCGGACACACAAGCCTTTACACACACAAACCCCTACCCACTTCACCCCTCCATGCACACACGGAACCCTCTGTACCTGCAGACGCACACACACATGACCCCTCCATCTGTGTATCTACACACGTGACCCTCGACACGCACACTACCCTGCAGACACAGGCACACGCTGTACGCCTGGGGTGGGACGCCACCTGCTCAGGACCATCCCTTCAGCTTGGGACAACCCCCATGGTTTCATTAAACCTTCCCTGTGACAGTGAGACCCCAGAGAGCGGACAGAGCAACAACAAAATGGATATCGGGAGACGTCCCTGGAGTCAAGTTCACATCACACGCAGCCGGGCTCCTCACCAGCCGTCGGCCGGGGCCAGGAGGCTGCACCTCCCAGAGCTCCAGTTGCCTCATCTCAAGCACGGGGCAAACTGTCCCCATCCCAGAGGACTGTAGAGGAACAACCTCGGGTCGTTCATGTCACCAGCTGGCCTCTGGGGACTGACACCTGTTCTGCTCAGCCACAGACTCCAGTAAGCCAAGGCGCTGCCATCGAGGAAGCCCTTACAGGCCTTCAACCATTCTGAGCCTCAGTGTCCCCATTATAGACAGAGGGATGTCCCCGCCATGCCCCTGACCTCAGGCCATGGGGGACTTTTCCTGGAAACAACCGAGTTGTCTTAGGAGCCCGAGGGCTGCTGTCCCTACCAGGAGCGCACACTATACCTCTGTGTCTGCAGGTCCCCCAGGGAGCCGGTCCCTCTCTAGCCGGATCTGGGGCCGCACAGGCCGGAAGCCAGCACGCACACCGACGAGTCTCGCATTCTGGAAGGAAAAGTGCCAGCTGCTCACCTCTGCCTGGTTTCCTGTCCTGCTGCCATTGTTAGGCCACCTAACGAACCACCACTGCCATCATCGCCACCGTCACCATCGCTGCGACCACCGGTGCCAACTCTCTCACTCCATCTCCATTCAGTGCCACCATCACCACCAATCACTGCCCTGATATCACCCACGGTCCCCACTTCGTCACCATCGTCATCACCGTTCTTTGCATTTTCATCCCTATCAACACCCACTGCCACCTCCATCCCTATCTTCGTCACTGTCACAGCCCTTGTCACCACTAGTAGGCAATGGGACAACTGAGCTTGCTGTAACAGGCCCGTCTGCTCCTTGTGCAGACAGACGAGGTCACTTGGGCAGTGTCTCCTTAGGAGGAGACAGTTCTCAGCCACGGCCATTTGGACTTCATGGGCCTGAAGCCAGGACTTCCCTAGACATCGTCAAATCCCAGTGCGTCCCACAGTCCCTTGCTGAACTCATCTGTCCACTTGTCCTGCCCCTTGTTCCAGGGGCGCTGTCTTCCCATCTTCCTCTTATTATTATTCTCATTATTTATCTATTTATTTGGGGGGGGAGGGTACGGGGTATTGAGCCCAGGGTGCTTTACCACTGAGCCACGTCCCCAGCCCTTTTTTCTTTTGAGACAGGGTCTCGCTAAGTTGCTTAGGGCCTCGCTAATTGCTGAGGCTGGCTTTGAACTGGCGATCCTCCTGCCTCAGCCTCCCAAGTCGCTGGGATTCCAGGTGTGCGCCACCCGCCTGGCTCTCTTCCCGTCTCCGAGTGTCCTAATAACCAGGAGCCTGGTCTAGGGCACTGAGGCCTGTCCCCACCTGACCTTCAGTGTGGGCTCCAGTCTGCAGCAGCCTTCCCAAATGGCGTCGTGGTCCTGGGTATCGATCAGCTCCGTCCAGTTCCCCAGCTGGAAGGTGCCGCCCAGAGTGACCGTCTGGCTCCTGGATTAAAATGAGAGGGAGTGGGGGACACGGAGCCTTCGAGGTGCGTGCGGAGCATCCTGAGCTTCCTCCTCCTGCCCTGGTTACTAAGTCACTACCACCATCGTCACCACCATCGTCACCACCCAAATCTCCACGGTCATCACCATCAACCCCATTCAGTGCTCTGCCCACACCATCACTGACACCACGAGCACTGCCTTGCAATTGTCATTTCTGTCCCTTGTCCACATCATGGCTGGTTGTCATCTCCATCAGCACCCACTCATCCCCGCACGCCATCACCACCACTCACAGGACTGATGTCCTCGTCAATACCACGCCACCCCCCGTCACCCCACGATCGTCACCGCTCCACCATCCTGACGCCAAGCAACACAACACTCCATCAGCACTGCCTCTCCCACCAGGACAACGCTGTCACGCCATGCCACTACCAAAAAGTGTCATTCCATCACGCGGCCACCGTCTTCACTAACATTGTCCCCTCCACCCTGGATACTGTCGTTGCAATCAACCTCAGTCATCCTCCTCCCATTTTCAGTATTGCCTCTTTACACCCCTCCTAATCCCACTATCATCGTATCCAGCACCTCGGTCCCTGCCTCACCACTAGGGTCATCCAAAGAACCCTGGAAAGAGCCGGACGGAGTGAGGCCAAGCCCTGCCTTCCAGGGGTTTGATTGCCAGGTCTCTCTCACAGGGCACTGCCCCACTCAGCAAGGGGCCGGGGCAGGCAGGGGGACATAGAGAGGGCACAAGGTGCCTCCTCCGCCCTAGAGCAGGCCGATCATTACCCTGGGATGATGTACGGGGTCTTGTAGATGCCTCTCTCTGGGTCATGGGTGATAATGAAGTGCTTCATCCATGGGGCTTCCACCTGGTGATTCGGAACAGGGACATCTTGTCAGGGGAGCAGGATCAAAGGGCTTTCTTGAATGGCTTCTGGCTACGACCAGAAGTTCCAACTAGAGTAGCTGGGCTGGTCCTGCCCCCTCCACAAACCTCCTGGCCCCAGGCTGCATCTAACTGCTTGTCCCTTGCAGCAGACCCACCCTGATTGACAGCTGCCCCTGCTCCCTAAAGTGTGCTCACCTGTGTGTCGAGGAAGAGCCTTGTCACCCAAAGAGCATACACTCGAACACCCACGGATGTGCACTCTGCACTTACACCCAGGCAGCCCCGCACACAGGGAGAGGCAGCTTGAGACGATGACCAGTCCCTGGGCTCCTAATCCAGGTGGCCTGAGTTCTAATCCCAGTTCCACCTCTCATTTACCACATGTGAACTCAGGCCTGCACTTGTCCCCTCTCTGCCTCAGCTGCTGCTTCTGTAAGATGGCCACGGTGCTATGGTAGCACCCATCTCAAAGGGTGGTGGTAAGGACTAAACTAAGCACTGTGCTTAGATCTATGCCTGGCACTTAGTATGCATTGCATAACTATTTGCTATTTTTATTACAATACAGGCATAAGCAGCTGTTCCTACAAACATATCCACGAATTTTTTGCCATGAAGAAGAAATCATCCATTGGGCACACCTGTGGTGCATGCCTATAATCCCAGCAATTTAGGGGGCTGAGGCAGGAGGATCACAAGTTGGAGGCCAGCCTCAGCAAATTAGTGAAACCCTGAGAGACTTATCAAAATTTTCTCTCTCAGAATAAAAAGGGCTTGTGTATAGCTCAGTGGTAGAGCACCCCTGAGTTCAATCCTTAGTACGGGGAAGGAGGAGGAGGAGGAGGAGGAGGAGGAGGAGGAGGAGGAGGAGGGGAGGAAGAGGAGGAGGGGGGAGGAGGAGGAGGAAAGAAAGAGAAATCCCAAAAGAGCATTCAGGGTGGACAAGGCAGGATGGCCCTTCTCCTTTACCATGCCAGTTCCCCAAAGTCTGGGTCACTCTGGCGCACATTCCCCACTCTTCCACTAGCTGTGGAGGTGAAATAAGCATGCACAACAATCCTCCCGTCAGCGGAAGCTGGGCGTCTCACTCTCACACTCACCTGAATGACCTGCCCCCGGCCTGGCTGCAGCAGGGGGTCTGGCTGCAGCGCCCCAGCCCACACCCCTGTGCAGTTGATGATCACATCCACGCCTCCTCTTGCCACCTGGCAGCAACCAACAGGGTGGGGGGTGATGAGGACCCTGGCATCCCTGTCTCTGCCTTCCTCCCTCCTCCTACCCACAGCTGGGGAACAGTGGCTGGGAGTCCCCATGGGGGGACCAGAGGGAAGTGCCCCAGCATCTCCTTTCTGCCATTTACCCACAGTGTGACCTCAGAAATGTCCCTTTATCACAGCCGCCCCCATTACAGAATGGGGCCGGCGTCACCAGATGTCAGGCTGCCGAGATCCCGGGCAGCTCTGTGTGTAAAGGAGCTGGGCACCGGGGGCTGTGGAGTGGGGAGACCTCTGGGAACCCTGAAGGAAGGCAGAAGGAAGCTCATGTCCCCCTTCTCCTCTGACTCCGTGCCATCTGGCCTTCTGTGGCGCAGAAAGATACTAGAAACCCCAGCTCTGTGGGTGTCTGGGCCACTCGTCCACTCAAGGACACACAGTGCCATGAGCACCCCAGCACCCCAGCTCAGCCCTGATCATGGATCGAAAGGGTCCGTCAGGGCCCAGCCCAGAGCAGGTAGGTCCTCACTATAGAACGCAAGTACTGAGTACTAGTGCTCAGTCCTAGTAACTGCCAGGTTGTGTGCCAGGGCTGAGTGGAGTCGCCCAGCACTCTTGGTGCTCAGTCGTTGCCTGGTGAGGGTGGCTGCTTCCACCGACATCCACGGTGGTGCTGTTCCTTTGATCCGGGGCCCAGCTGAGGGCCTGGACTATTCAGAAACATCAACCTCAGTGTCGTAGGAAGCACCCAGGCACCTGGACGTGGAAGGGGAGGGCAGCTGACCCCACTCTAGCCCTGAAGCTCACTGAGGCTCGGCCTCATGGCCACCAGGATTCCACTCTTCTTTGTTCCTGCCCCTAATGTCCGGGCAGATTCCTCCTAGAATCTCAGAAGGCCTGAGTCCTCCTGGGGTCCAGAGAAGGACTAGCATGGGGGACAGGCCTCAGGGGACTCTGGGAGACCGGCAAGGAGCCCCCAGCCCAGCCGCAGGAGGCAGAGGCCTCTTCCCTCCCACACCCACCCGTTCCCCCCAGGACTCACCTCCTCCAGAGACGCCACCTTGCGCAGGAAGAACTGCACGCCCCTCTCAGTCAACCTGGACGACCACACGGGTCAGAAACACCTAGAATTCAGTCCTCTGCCCGGCCTCCCAGAGGGGGGGTGGGAACATCTCTGTGGACGCGAGTCCCACCGGAGGCTCTTTGAGAATAGGGCCAATTAGATCACCAGCCCCTTGAGGGACGAGGGGGCCAGGAGTTGTCCCCTGGGAAACAAGGTCTTGTGACATGGCCCAAGTCCCTGGCTGGGCAGATGGCGGAGGGAGAAGCGTCTTCCTGAAGGTTCTATGGTGAGTCAGGCAGAGAGGGGCTGGGCTCAGGCTCCTCCCTCCCTCGCTCTCTGCCGGCCTCCATGGCTGGGTAACATCAGGGGGATGAGATCTGGGGTGGACGAGGGGCAGAGTCGGGCCCATGCCAAATGCCCCTTTGACAAAAGCAGGACACAAGGAGGGAGGAGGCTGGGGACACCCACCCGTCCCTTGAAATGTCCCAGAGGAGGTCTGGGATGTGGTTCAGTGGCAGAGCGCTGGCCTAGCATGTGTGAGGCCCTGGGTTCAAGGCCCAGCAATATACAACACAAGAAAAATGTCCCCGAGGAAAAACATCTGTCACTACTAGAAGTATAGTAAAGATATCCAAAGAATAGGACGTAAACCATCTTTAAGCTGAAGGATGACCTTGGGATGATTTCATCTGCATATTTCCTTCAAGAAAGGAAAAATTGGGGCTGGGATTGTGGCTCAGAGGTAGAGCACTTGCCTCACACATGTGAGTTCCCCGGGTTCAATCCTCAGCACCACAAAAATAAAATAAAATAAAATAAAAATAAAGACATAGAGCTACATTGTAGCAACAGATCACTATTTTTAAAAAAAGGAAAAATTGGAAGCATTTTCTTCTGGAAGAGGCTGAATGGGGATCATAAGTGTCCCCAGGTTAGGAGAAGTGACCATGTCAATGGTCCCCAAGCCTGGCTGGTAACCAGAATCATCTTTCCTGTTTTGGTACTTGGGATTGGACCCAGGGGTGTTCTACCACTGAGCTACATCCTTAACCCTTTTTAATTTTTATTTTGGGGTAGGGCCTCACTAAATTGCTATAATCTTCTTGCCTCAGCCTCTGGAGTCGCTGAGATTACAGGTGTGCCCCACCACACCCGGCCCAGGGAAATTCGTGAAATCAATTCTGAACCCCACTCCAGGGTTTCTGATTCAATGAGTGTAAAGTAGGATCCTGAAATGTATATTTTTAGGAATGTCCCCCAATTATTTGGTACAAGTCACCATTCATTCCAGAATTTAAAAAAAAAAAACTCAGTAAAATAGTAAACTATAGGGAATACATGAAATCTTTCTTAATATGAATGTATGTGCATATAAATGTGGATGTATTCCTCAAGCGAGTGTTTGCTAGTTTGGAACACCATGAAATTGCTATTAACGTCAGGAAAGAAACAGGGATATCCATTATTCCATTATTACCCATATTAGTTAACATTCTAGAGACACTCACCAAAGCTGTGAGAGGGGAGACGGAGAGAGAGAGAGAAGGCGTCTTAGGTTGTAAATATAGTCATGCATGGTGGCACACACATGTCAACCCTGCCTTGAGAGGCTAAGGCAGGAGGATCACAAGTTCAAGGCTAGCCTCAGCAATTTAGTGAAACCCTCATGGAGACCCTGTCTTGAAATTTTAAAAAGGAAGAAAGAAGGAACTGAAAATGTAGCTCAGTGGTAAAGTGTCCCTGGGCTCAAATTCAATGTATTAAAAAAAAAAAAAGAAAAAGAAAGAAAAATGGTGTCAATATACCTGGGAAACGTAGGAGAATGCACTAGAACTTTCTGTGAAGTTGTTAATAAATACATGCTGTAGAAAGCCGCCCAGGTGTTTCCAGTGCCCAGCCAGGTGCAGAGCCACGGTCTCAAGGACAGTGGTGATCAGAACCAAGGACAGCACCCACACCTGGCCTAAGGGTTTTCTTCAGCTGGGGATTGGGCGCTACCTCCAGGAACCCCATGACACTGCTGTCCCCCAGCAGGATCCCTGGCAGGTGCCCGCTGGCCTGAGGTCTGAACTTACCTTTCCGTCAGCCACTTGAGGTAGGTCCTGCCATCCAGGATCAGGCTGGTGTTGAACCAGCCATAGCTGGAGTCCCGGCCAAAGGAAACAGCAAGTCAGAACCCCAGTTAGACTGGAAGGCTGACCAGTGGAGGTGGGGTCAGTATTGTTCCGTGGGTCCCCAAGAATCACGGGGTGACATTCATGGGGCTGGGGGAGGGAGSGATTTTGAGCTCAATGAAAAGAGCTATTCTCTTTCAGAAAAAGCCATCCCTGACGTTGGAATATAAAAATGGAGATGGGATGTGCCATTGGTAGAGGGGATTCAGGCACAGGGTGGGGTGAGGAGAGGATCCGGAGGCAGTGGGACTGGAGGCCCCTGTGAAGGAGCTGGACGGAGCATCAGGAGACCAGGGCACCACAGGGACCAGGGGAGGACGGGCCACAGAAAGCTGGGCGCCTCTCTCTGCTGCCCACAGGATGGTTCTGTGTGGATTCCACGGTGCCTTGGCCCCGCTGCCCCTGAGGGTACCCTTACCCATAATCAGGGAACATGTCCAGCTCTCTGGGGGTCAGCTTCCGAAATCCCAGAACTATGTCTTTCCAGACAGGGTCCTTAAGAGCAGGAGAGAAGAGGGACAGGGATTGGTGACAGTCGGTAAGAAAGAAATAACGAAGACTTAGACGGCCCTGTGGGCAAGGCTAGGTCCCAGGAGTTTCCCGCGTAGAGATCCAGTTCATCTTTACAACCAGCCACGAAGGTGGGGTGAGGGTCCAGAGGTGGTGTCCTCTCAAAGCTCAGGTTTGGAGGAGAAATGATGGGGTCCCAGCCTTAACCTCACCAGTGAGTCATCCCTGATGGAGTTACTCGGTGGTGGCTAGTGGCAGGTGGGGTGTGGCTGAGGCAGTGATTCACGGGGGGCGTGGCTATGGGCAATGTATATTGCATCTGGAAAGTGGAATCCTTCTCTCCCTGTTTCCTGATCATCACCTGCGTTGCTCCCTCGGCCATGATGTCCTGCTACACCTCGAGCCCAGAGGAATGCAGCCTGCTGTCTACCGAGACCTCTGAACCCGTAAGTCCCCCAAGTCAACTTTCCTGCTCTGCCATTACTCTGGTTGGGTCCTTTGGTCACAGCCGTGGAAAAGCTGGATGCTCTTCTTATCCCACAGAGGGACGGGTGGAGGCTCAGAGCTCGTCTCGGCTCACACAGGTAGTAAGTGGTGAAGCTGAGACCTCAGCCCACACAGTTGTTTGACTCTGGAGTTCAGGTTCTTGCTTTTGGGGCTGCGGGTACCAGGGATGGAACTCGGGGGCACTTGACCACGGAGCCACATCCCCAGCCCTATTTTTTGGTATTTGATTTAGAGACAGAGTCTCGCCGAGTTGCTCAGGGCCTCACTAAGTTGCTGAGGCCGGCTTTGAATGCGCCATCCTCCTGCCTCAGCCTCCTGAGCCTCTGGGATGATGGGTGTGTGCCACCGCACCCGGAAATTGTTCTGTTTGTTGTTGTTGTTGATGTTGTTTTGTTTTTGGTGTGTGTGGTGCTGGGGACTGAACCCAGGGCCTTGTGCATTTGAGGCAAGCGCTCTACCCACCAAGCCGTTATCCAGAGCCCACAGTCAGGTTCTGAACCACTCTACTCAGGGTAAGGGTGAGGCTGGAGGTGAGTGATAGGGGAGAGGTCATAAATGGGGGAGAATCAGGGGCACCGGTGACAGTCACAGAGGGTGAGAGTAGAAGGCAGAGGGCACATGGGACCAGGCCTCCTGGGTGGAAACCCCAGATTTGCCACCTTATCTCTCGAATGACTGGAGACTCCGTTTTCTTGTTTGGGACAATCATTTCTCTTGGCTCCATGACAGGAAAGAGATAGCGCAAGGCCAATTATCCTAGCACCGGAGATAAGGAGGCGAATGATCCCTAGCACAGACTTGGAGAATGAGTAACGAGGGAGCTAGCTCCCAGGGCTGGGCCTGAGCCACCCCACCCTCTCCAAACAGCCCGAGCCCATCCTGAACGGCTTTGCTGTCCCTCTGTGGGCATCCCGTGGTCACAGACCCCCTGGGTTCAAACCCCAGCACTCTCTCTCTCTCTCTCTCTCAAAAGCTCTGTGGCTCCGGGTGAACCACTCCATTTCTCTGAGCCTCAGTTCTCCTGTCTGCAGTTGACTCCCCGTTATTATGAAAATTAAAGGAGCCACTGGTTGTCAAAGAGTTAGGACAGGGCCTGGCGCCGATTTTGCTATCACATCGTAAAGACCCCGGACTTCAGGGGACACACGACATCATGACTTTGGAATATGTAAATTTTGCCCATACCAATCAAAGGCTAGCTCCGCCCGTTCATCAGAGATTTGGGGTATCTGCCAATTTAATAACAAAATTTGGAACAAAAGTTTTACATGTACATATATAAATTATATATTACATATATAATACACACACATGTACACATACATATGTCTCTCCTCCCTCCCTCCTTCCTTTCTTACATTCTGTCTGTGCCAGGCTGGCCCCAAACTCCCAGGCTCCACCAGTCCTCCTGCCTCAGCCTCCTGAGTAGCTGGAATGATAGGCATGTGCCCTTGAAGCCTGTGAGATTCTGTCTGTGCTTTTTAAAAAGCATTTTTAGAGACAGGCACAGTGGCACATGCCTGAGGTTCATGCTACCTGGGAGGCTGAGGCAGGAAAATCACTTGAGCCCAGGAATTTGAGGCCAGCCTGGGCAGCAGAGCCAGACTCCATTGCTCCCCCCCCACCACCCCCCCAATTTTTTTTTTGATTATGAATTAAAATAAAGTGGACGCAGCTTGAACCCAAGACTGCTGCCTTGACTCAGCCTCCTGGAATCTGAAGTTAGGACTCCTCACTCACCGGAACAGCTTCACGGAAGAGGTTGTAGCCCGAGATTAAGGCCAGGCCCATTTTGTCAGCAGTGGGAGAATGGATTTGACTCAGGAGGTAGTCAAAGGTCTGCTGGTTCCAGTCCCTGCAAGGGTCACCCACAGGAGTGTCACCTGATGTCCTGAGCTGGGCAATAATTCTCAGAGGTCAGCTGGGGGTATGATGAGGTGGTGGAGAGGCATCCAAAATCCAGACACCTACTAGGTACAAGCCTGCGCTGCTCCAATGTCTACGCTTCTTCCGATATTTCCCGCACTAATGGGATGGAGTCTCCCTCTCTTTTTTTAGTACCAGGGATTAAACCCAGGGGCGCTTAACCACTGAGCCACATCCCAGCCCTTTCTGTTTTATTTTAAGACAGGGTCTCACTAAGTTGATCAGGGACTCGCCAAATTAGAGCCTGGCTTTGAACTGGCAATCCTCCTGCCTCAGCCTCCAGAGCCGCTGGGAAGACAGGCTGAGCCTCCACTCCATTAAGGGACAGAGAAGAGGCAGGAAGGGGATGGGCATCTCTGTCTGGGGCTCACAGAGCTGATGATTTCCGATGAAGGAGGCTCTGACCTGGTTTGGGGGGACGATGATACAGACTGGCCGCGAGACCCCGCCCATTGTAAACCTTGAGGGCAGACATCAGCTTGCTATCCCCACGTGCCTTCTCTCCGCACCCTGTGCACACAGCCCAACTACACTTCTACTATACCCAAAGGACTTAAAAACAGCATACTACAGGGACACAGCCATATCCATGTTTATAGCAGCAAAATTCAAAATAGCTAAACTGTGGAGCCAACTTAGATGTCCTTCAGTGGATGAATGGACAAAGAAAGTGTGGCTTTATACACCATGGAATATTACTCAGCCTTAAAGAAGAATGAAATTATGGCATTTGCAGGTAAATGGATAAAGCTGGAGACTATCGTGCTAAGTGGAGTTAGCCAATCCCCAAAAAAACAAATGCCGAACATCTTCTCTGATATAAGGAGGCTGATTCATAGTGGGGTTGGGAGGGGGAGCATGGGAGGAATAGACAAACTCTAGATAGGGCAGAGGGGTGGGAGGGGGCATGGGGGTAAAAAAGATGGTGGAATGAGATGGACATCATTACCCTAAGTACATGTATGAAGACACAAATGGTGTGAATATACTTTGTATATGAGCAGAGATGTGAAAAATTGTCGTCTATATGTACAATATGAAATGTAATGCATTCTGCTGTCGTATAGAACAAATTAGAATAAGAAATACATTTTAAAAATCAATTACAGCTTCTAGATTCACTTGCGTGTACTGGGGCCATGTGACTGTGTGTTGGCTGGAGACTGCACAACACTGGCCCATGAGAATGGTAACATTGGAGGTCACCTTGGTAGTGACCTTAGAAGCCCTTAGAAGGGCCATGTCAGTGGTTGGCAAAGCCATGAGAGGGAGGGAGCTCTTGAATTGCTGCCCACTGACCAGGAACACTGGTTTTGGAATCCACAAGAGGATATTTTATTGGTTTGTTTGAGACATTATTCACTGCAGGGGGAAGGGTTGTCCACTTGTTGAAGCAGGTGGCAGTATTTTGTTTGTTTGTTTGTTTTGTTTTGTTCTCTGGTGCTGGGGATTGAACCCAGGGCCTTTGCATGTGAGGCAAGCTCTCTACCAACTGAGCCACATCCCCAGCCCATAGGCAGTACTTTCTAAATAGATATAATGACCTTTGCAACGCCTCCTTCTCCTTCTTCTGTGTTAGAGATTGAACCCAGAGCACTGTACTATTGAACCACATCTCTTTTTTATTTTGAGATAGGGTCCTGCTAAGTTGCTTAGGGCCTTACTAAGTTGTCCAGGCTGGCCTCGAACCTGTGATCCTCCTGCCGCAGCCTCCCGAGTTACTGGGATTACAGTCATGTGTCACAGTGCCCAGTTATGACCTTTGCATTGATCCACCTGCTCAGAAATTTTCTGGATTCATCAATGCATATGGTATTGACACTGACCCTACCTCAGGAACGAATGGAGACAAAACCTCCGAGCACACAGTATGTGGTTTAGAGTAGAGGGAATATCCTTGAGTATTTCCTTTCCTTTTCTTTTCCTTTTTTTTTTTTTTTTTAACCTGAGATTGAACCCAGGAGCACTTCACCACTGTGCCACATCCCCAGCTCTTTTTAGTTTTAATTTTGAGACAGGGCCTCACTAAGTTCCTGAGGCTGGCCTCCAACTTGCGATCCTCCTCTCTCAGCCTCTCAAGATGCTAGGATTATGGGCAAGCGCTACAGCGCCTGGCTCTTTCTTTCTTTCTTTCTTTCTTTGGGCACAGGAGAGAGGGTCTCATTATATTTCCCAGGCTGTTCTCAAACTCCTTGATTCAACTCTCCTCTGTCTTTTGCCTCAGAATACGTGGGTTTGCCCAGTTCATAGGTATTTTCTTTATGTCATGCCGGATCAGAGCTTCCCAGGGTACTTATTCTCGGTGATGGGCACCCTGACAGGGAGTGCCCTTTCTGCAGACTCACCCCGTGGCCCCCCCGACCACCCTCTGGGATCCTCACTCACATTTCTTGGGGGTCTTCGGGCGGGGAGACGTAGGGCTGGATGAGCCCGGCTGCCACGTCGGTGGTGGTGTGCGGGGTGAAGCGGTCCGCGTAGACCTTCATGTCCAGCGGCTGCAGGTCCGAGTGGTAGCGCTGGTGGATGCAGAGGGCGGTGGAGAGCCCGATGACCCCGGCGCCGATCACCACCACGCGCATCGTGCCGCCTGCGAGAAGGAAGGGTGAGGCTCGCCATCCTCGCCGCCACCTCCGCCGCTATCACTGCGATCGCAGTCTCCTGGAGGCTCGGAAGGCACCAGGCGCCACCAAGCCCTTTGGTTTGTCTGGTGCTGGGGATTGAACCCAGGGGCACGTCACCCCTGAGCCCCAGTCCTTTTGAGTTATTTATTATTTTATTTTGAGACAGAGTCTTGCTTACTTGCTGAGGCTGGCCTCAAACTCACAATCCTCCTGCCTCAGCCTCCTGAGTCCCTGGGGTTACAGGCCGGCGCCACCCATGTGACTCAGGCCTGCCAAGCCCTAATATCCTCAGGAATCAAGACCCAAAGATGCAGGATGATCAGTTTTCACATTTTTCACGTGGAAACACTGAGGCGTGGAGGGGAAGGGCCTTTGCCCGAGGTCAAACAGCCGGAAAGTGGTGGGGCTTTCTCTGGGAAGCCTGCCAGGTGTCCCATCCCTTGGCTGGGAATACAAAGGGCCTGGAAGAGCCCCTGGATGACAGTGTCCTGGGTGGCCTAGAGGTTAGCGCAGTGGGGTCTGGCTTCAAGCCTTCGGCCTCAGCTCTGCCACCTACCTGCCTCTAACCCCAGGCAAGATGCTCCGTGGGCTTCAAGTTTCAGTCATCCGTACCTCAGATGAGACTCTGGTGCCCAGTGCAGCAGTGATTTAGTGACCTTCTGAAGCACCTGCCACGCACCGGCCCCGGCGCTGAGGGTCTCACGTGCACCGTGTCACCTGAGCTTCCCAACAGTCTCCTGAGATGGAGGCTCTTGCCATTTAGTCCCATTTTACAGATGAGGAAACCGAGGCACAGGAGGAGGAAGTGACTCACCTGGAGTCACACAGCCAAGGAGTGGTGTTGCTGGGATTGGAGTCCCACCCGAGTGAACACCGGCTGTGCGCATGCGCGGCTCTGAGTCCATCAGTCCAGGGTCGGACTGGCCTGAGACTCAGCCTGACTCGCGGTGCTTGGCCGGCTGGCCCCGCTGAAGTTTAGCTTTTGACCTTGAACTGCTCGGTCAGCTTCTGCTGAGGCAGAACAAGAGGACTGTTTGTGTTCGGGAGGGCCAAAGTCCACTCTCCCTCTCTTTCTTCCCAACCGGCCTCCTGGGGTCCTTGGCTCTGGCCGCCCAGCCTGTGGCCCTGAATAGCAGGACGTTCCCAATATGGCCTAGTTTTGTCAAAGAGGGGAAATGACTCCAACCCGCAAGAACTGGACTCCTGCAGGCTGTCAGAAGCCAAATTGGAGAGAGAATCAACAAAGAGAGAGGAGTCATTCTAGACCCTTCTCCCTCCAGCTTGGAGTCTGAGCTCGGATACAGCGGCTGATGGGGTGGGGGACAGACCTCATCACGGTGGCTGTGTCTCCCCTGCACCCTCTTTTCCTCAGACATGGCTGACCTCATCTGCAAAATAAGGGTGACCGCGATCTCCCGGGTTGTGCTGAGGGTTAATCGGGAACCTCTGCAGAAGTTCTAGGTGTGGTGCCTGACACACAGAGTAGGCCCTAGCACAGAGCGGGTGCTCTCTGTCCCCTAGCCCTGTGACAACCACAGAGGAAAGAAAACATTGGCCATAGAGGAGGCCAGAGGAAGAAAGAGGCATCAGACTTGGCTTCACTTCCAGCCTGCTGTGTCACCTGCAGTGTCACCTGCCGTGTCGCCTGCTGAGTTACCTTTGCCAAGTTCCTCCCCCTTTCTGGGCCTTCTGACCATTCCTCCGGAATCGCTGGAGAGATGACGGCTTTTGTACATTAATAACAAAAAGGCTGAGGAGTAAAGGAACTTTCTTTCAATTTCCAAATTCCCTGTGATAAATCTGAGGTTGGGGGAAGGGCAGGTGGCCGTAACAACTCAGAGCCATGGTCAGACACCTCCAGGTTTGCACACACCTGCCACACACCCGCTATCGGATCTTGGGCAAGTCACCTGACGGGGTGAGAGTGAGCAACCTTTTGGGTTTGCCCAGGACTCAGGTGTTCCCAGGATGCACACCTGCGGTGCTGAAAGCCACAGAGTCCAGGGAGCCCTGGGCGAGCTGGGCTGGGATCCTAGGTCTGCTCTCTCTAGAGCTGCCCTTTCTCCATCTCGCTCTGCCTAGGAAATCAGCAAAGAGCTGAGAAAAAAGGGCTGTTTATAAAATAGGAACATGTGAGGAGGGGGAGGGAGGTGCTAGAGGAGGCTTGGGAGGCTCCTGGGAAATGAAGAGACTTTGGACTGAAGTAGGGCAAAGAGAAGAGAGAGGACCCAGAGCAACACCCGGATCAGGGGCAATACTACGAGCAGCTTCCAGAACCTTCTGGAAGAACAGGCCCAGGGTCAAGAGGGTCAAACACAGCCCAGGGTGGTTTCTCCAGTGCCAAACTTTAAAGATGAGCTCATCGAGCTTGTGCAGTTGGGGAAATGGAGGCCTACTACTATGTTTTCAGTTCCCTGCATCCTTAAAAAAATATTTTTTTTTCTTTTTTCTGGTACAGGGGATTGAACCCAGGGGCACTTAACCACTGAGCCCCACCCCCAGCCCTTTTTATATTTTTATTTAGAGACAGGGTCTCACTGAGTTGTTTAGTGCCTTGCTAAGTTGCTGAGGCTGCCCTTGAACTTCGATCCTCCTGCCTCAGCCTCCAGAGCCTCTGGGATGACAGGTGTGCGCCATGGCACCTGGCTTGTGCTAAGAATCTGAACGGCCTTATCTAGTATGGTCCTTGTGACACATTCAGACAAGCGAACTCACGGCCTGAGAAACCCGGTTGGTGACAAGCCAGGCCAGCCTGACTCCCATCTTTGAGCACTATAACATGCTGCTGCTGCGGGGCTGGCAAGTCCAGCCATTCAGAAAATCACAAGGTGGAGCAGACCAGGAGAAACAGCTCATGTTTCAGAGTCCTGCATCCGCAAAACCCTCAAGTGCAACATGATGGGGTTTGTAGTGTGTCGGTGAGAATCAAAGACAAAACAGTCCCAGATCCCAAGGTAATTAATTGTCTTTAGGAAGCAATGCACACCATGAGTCCAGTTTGAACCAGATGATAGCAGCCTGGAGCGTGGAGGGTGAATAGAAATGCCTGAGATTCTCATGAGACTTGGGACCCAGACTACAGGATCCGACAGACCTAGCCTCAGGTGAAACCCCAGGAAATGAACTTCTGGACTTGGTGCAGAGATCGGATATGAAGTCAACCATTTCTTGCTGTTTTGCTGGTGCTTTTTTAACAGTGTTGAATTTCTCCCCTATTTTATGCCAATTCCTTCAACCAGGAAAGTGAAGCAGCTGGAGTTATTTTGTGTGTGGTGTGTGTATGTGTGCGTGTGTGTGTGTACATGTGCACTTGATTATAAAGCCTGTGCAAAGACAGACCCATAGGAGAACCAACATAATTTGGATTCTACTTCTTGCCAGACACATGAAGACACAGTGCAGACCCAAGCCCCTTAATCCTCTCGACAACTCCAAGAGGTGGTTCGGGCTGGTGGTGCACACCTGTCATCCCTGCAGCTGGGAAGGCTGAGGCGGGAGGATTGCGAGTTCAAAGCCAGCCTCAGCAACTTAGTGAGGCCCTAAGCAACTTAGTGAGACCCAGATTCTAAAAAACACATATAAAAAGGACTGGGGACGTGGCTTAGTATCATCTTGATTCTACAGGAGAGACAGAGAGGGGAAGACATTCACCCAAGGTCACACCGCCTGCGTGAAATGCATTCAGATCTGACCCAGGTCTAGCTGGGCTTTCTGCCTGTGTCATAGAAATATTTAGGCAGCTGGCACTTGACACTTTCTGCTTGCCTGTCAGTCTCGGCTTTGTTTGCAGAAGACCTCCCTCCTGTCCTAGAAAGCCCTCTGAGGCAGCTTCTGCCTTTGATGGCTACAAGCTCATGAACATGAAAGATTGGTCCTGTGAAAATCAGAGTCACGGGTGAGATATAGGAGTTAGCACAAGTCGGCTCTTCCAGGTTGGCCACGTGGCTGTGTCTTATGAGGTTGATATTTTCAGAGTCTATCTTTAAAATGGAACCGAAGCTATTAAAAAAAAAATAAAATAAAATAGGCGGACACGGTGGCGCAGGCCTGTCATCCCAGCAGCTCAGAAGCCCGAGGCGGGAAGATCACACATTCAAAGTAACCAGGCCCTGAGTGATTTAGCAAGACTCCTTCTCAAGATAAAATATATTTTTTTAAAAAAGGGCTGGGGATGTGGCTCAGGGGTTAACTGCCCTAGACTCAGGTTCAATCCCTGGTACCAAAAACAAAACAAAACAAAAAAAACACCAGCAATGACCACCACAAAACGGAACCAGCCTACCCACTCCCCCTCCCAAAGATAATAATAAGGATCGTTAATTGAGTACTTGCTAAGTGCCTGATTCTACCCAGAGCATTTTAGAGTCCCCTCCTCTAATGTCCAGATGCACCCTGCTACATAGAGGTGAGTAAGGCCCCTGTGTTCCGGATGAGGAAACCCAAGCTCAAAGGGAGTCTCCTTACCTGCAATCCCAGCCCAACTCCAAGGCTGGAGCTTCTTCACCTCTGGGAGATGTTGGCCCAAAGCGCTCTGTCCTTTCTTTCCTGCCTCAGGCACTGCTGTGGAGTCTGGCCTGTTGACACTGGGACATGAGATCCCTCCGCACCACCCCCCCCCCCCCCGCCCAACCCCCAGCTCAAAGGTGCACCTGTCACTCACCCCACGTGCCAGAGGCGTCTGGAGAAGCGAGGCAGCGCCTGGGGGTGCAGGTTCTATTTCCTGCAGGATTCTGGGTTGTCTGCCTGCCTGCCTGCCGGGGAGGACAGGAGTGCAAGGTCAAAGTCCGGAGCGGTAGATGGGACACTGTGCAAGGGGTGGGCCACAGTACCGCGCTGCAGGGAGAACCCGCCTCCCTCGCTCCCCGTCTCACAGAAGTCCCTGACTTTTCTGGCTGATCCCAAGCCCCTGTGGACAGGCCTGGGGGAGGGCGTGCGTGGGGGGCATTCTTGGAAGACTGATGGGCACAGGGAGCTCTGTCTTGCTGGCCAGCTGGAGACGATCCTCTCTCTTCCTGCTGCCACCCTGGCAGAGGGGAGGAGGGCTGTTCCCTGGGCCACAGTGGGTCCGGCCTGTGGGGTGGGGGTGGTAGCTTGGCAGCCCCAGAGGCCCAGGACAGGGGCTCCCGGGCAGGCTGGCCAGGGCAGTGCCATTCTGGGACGCCGGAGAGACAACACTAAGGAGGGACTTGAGGGGACGCCTGTCTGGGCTGGGAGYCTGCGTGGTCCTCGGCTTCTGTATCCCAGAGACACCAGGGGCAGGACTCCAGGCCCTTCCTCCGCCCAGACCAGACCTGGAGCTGGCACTGGGGGGGCCCAGGGCTCCTCGGGCACCTTGCTCTACGCGCAGAGAGAGGCCACAGAGACCTGGAGAGCTCCCCCGGCCAGCTGGGGTGGTCCAGGCTCCTGACCTCCAGCAGCACCCAAAACAGGGGGAAGGGGACGTTAAGAAAAGGCACGGGGGACACTCAGTGCCTAGTGTTTGCTCTTTCACAGTAAAAGAAAAAAATGGACGGGGTAAAGCCCACCTTTCACTTCTCATTTGAATGTTTTTTTACAACACCATGTATCCTGTGTGTGTGTGTGTGTGTGTGTGTGTGTGTGTGTGGTGATGCCGGGGACTGAACCCAGGGCCTTGTGCATGCAAGGCAAGCTCTCTACCAACTGAGCTGTGTCCCCAGCACCTGCACCATGTATCATTGTTCTTGTATTTTTTTTAAAAAAAAGTTTATTTGGGGCTGGGGATGTGGCTCAAGCGGTAGCGCGCTCGCCTGGCATGCGTGCAGCCCGGGTTCGATCCTCAGCACCACATACCAACAAAGATGTTGTGTCTGCCGAAAACTATAATAAACATTAAAAAAATTATCTCTCTCTCCTTTAAAAAAAAGTTTATTTAT